GCCCGATGCCGCAGATCACGGGTACAGAAATAATTACAATAATAATGTCATTAAAGTCGCGTCAACTCAGCCAAGTTTGGGAACCGGGCTGGGCTGGCAAAGGGGCGCCACGAGCGGGGTGACCCCATCCCTGCTCGCACCCAGGGTGTCCCTCACCAGCCCCAGATGTTTAGGGTGCCCCCCTCCCCGTGCGTCAGGGTTTGCTTTGGGGTGCGCAGGGACACCCCGGCCCGGAGCAAGGTCGTGCCCGGTGCCCGCCCGGCTCGCTCCCCTCTCCCCCTCCCCACAGGCGGCACCGGGACGCGGGGACCCCCGGGGGGCTCACCGGATTTCGGGGGGTATCTGTAGACGGAATTAGCGGGGATATCCACTTCCTCCACCCCTGCGTTCTGCCGGCTGGTCAGAGCCCCCATGGCCGGGCTGGGGCTCAGCGGGCGGGGGGCGGCGGGGCGTCCTCCCGCCCGGGACCGGGACGGGGTCCGGGACCGGGGCTGGCGGCAGCCCCCGCCCGCAGCATCCTCCGCTCCGCTCCCCTCTGCGCCGCGCCCGGCGCCGCCTCCGCGGCACCGCGGGGCTGCGACACGCGGGGCGGGGCCGGGAGCGGCGACACGCCCTGACCCACCACCACCCACCCCGGAGCGGTCCGGCTCGGCCGTGGGGATGAGGGGACGCTGCCCCTGCCCCCCGGATCACCCGGTGTCCCCCCACCCGCCCAGCGGGGTTCCTCCCCTCAGGTGCCACTTACCTGTCCCCCGCGGTGGTACACCCACCTGCCACCCCCTGTGTCACACAGATGCCTCCAGTACTGCTCAGTGGTCCCTCTCACCATTACCTGCCACTCCCAGTCACACCACCCAGTGACCCCTGCCCACCCCGGTATCACCCCCCTCCTTGCCCCCATCCCCACCAGTGACACTGAGCAGCAACCCCAGCCCAGGGACCCTCAGGGACAGCCTGGGCCCCTGAGGCTGGTTCAGGGCATGACACCTCTGTTCCTGTGCCCTCCGCTGCTCGGGTGGCTCCTGGGAGAAGGACAAGCCCCCCACTTTTCCCAGCACGTCACAGGGGGAAGGAGTCAGTGCAGCTGCTGGCACAGGGGACAATCCCCTCCAGCAGCACCCCAGGGCTGCACAGCGCTGGGGGGAGCAGGGGGGCAGGTTAACCCCCCCCTCCAGTGCACACCTCTGTCTTCCCCATCCTTCCCAGCTCTGCTCCGCACCAGGAGCAGCTGCATCTGCCAGGCACAGCCTCTGGAGGCAGGAGCTGCCTGTCCGCTCCAGTGCACCCCAACAGATTCCCCCCAGTTCCCCTAGTGTTACATTACTGGGAAGCGCTGGGCAGCCCCTCATTTTCCCCTTGGAGCTGAAGGGGAAGGATGGACCCTTTGACCGGTTGCTTAAGCCCACCAGTGATTAATTAGTCCGGCAGCGCAGGTTAGTGGAGCATCACATGATTTTGATTTGAGTTGATAACACGAGTGCTATAAATATCAGACGGGAGATGTGCAGAGAGGCGGATCAGCTGCCTCAATGGCCTTGGCTACTCAGTGGTGATGAGCAAAGGCTGTCCCCAGGGCTCCCCACTTCGCCCCCTCCCCGCAGAGAGACACACGGATCCCCCTCCCCAACTGCTTCCTACACGCACAGCCCTGAAGGCGGCTGAGAAAAGCCAAAACAAAGAGTGGCTACCACCATGGGAAGCCCAGGGGTGGCTTTGTACCGTTTGTCAGCCTGCCACTGTCACACCGGGTGCCACAGCCCCAGCAGTGACACCGTGTCCATGCTCTGGGATGTCACACCTGGGCCGGGTGCCAGCGGGAGCATCGGCCAAAGAAAAGGACTTGGACTCCACGATCTTAAAGGTCTTTTCCAACCTAAATAGTTCCATGAGGGGCAGAGGGTGACATCAACACCGGGAGCCTGCTCCAGCTCTCAGTGCTGGCACCCAGCCAGGAACCCCGAGGGTTGATCCCCGCTCATCCCAACACTCATTCTGGGGAGCCTGTTCTGGACATGAATCATTTACAAACCCAGCACAGCCCTGAACTGCTGAGCTGCCAGCCCTGCTCCCTTGCCTCACTCCAGCCAGCACCGACAGCGGGAAACACGAGCCTGGGAGAGGGAGCCAGAACATTTCATTACCGGCACACACCAGACTGCAGGGTTTTAGTGCAGACAATAATTCAAAGTTATCCCCGTGCAGATCCACAGCCCAGCAGTCATTACAGGCAGAGCTGCTGCCTGCACGCAGGGCTCGTGTTTTTTTTTCCCAGCGATTACTGCAGCAGAGGATTTTGTAGGACAGTGCCGCAGTGGAGCGCGGGAGCGCTGGCAGGAGCTGGGTGGTGACACGGCTTCGAGGACAGGTTCCCTCCCAGCTCTGCCCGGCCCTGTTCCCAGATCCCAGCACACATAAAGCCGGGACAAACCCAGCGGGGCAGAGCTGGAGGGGAGACCCAGAGAAAACAGAGTGTTTAACCCCAAAATGCACCTGCCGCTGGAAAAGATGCAAGTCCAAAGCTCGCACTGCCCTGCTGTGGGATTTGGGGTGTGCGTTTGGCAGGGAAGGAGGATCCTGCTCCTGCCTCCTTCTGCTGAGAGGGAAACTGAGTTATGGCAGAGCACAGTGGTTGAGGTTAAAGAGAAGAGTGAGTGGCTCACCCACGGAAGCAAACACCTGTCTGTACACCCAGTCCATTCCCAGTGAGCTCCCAGTTCCCCCAGCAGTCACTGGCAGACGCTGTGGAGCCACCAAGCCCTCTCTCCCCTGGGGCTGTCTCTGCTCCCAGCCTGTGCAGCCCCCCAGGAGGCAATGGCTGGGGAGGGGGTGGCCCTCCATCGGTGGGTGCTGAGCCCACACGAGGGATGCTGTGTCCTTGGCCCCCCAGCTCCCGGCTGGGAAGGTTCTGGGAGCCCACCCCCTGCCCAGAGGGGTGACCCCAGACCCCCGGGGATCCCAGCTGGCTGGTAGGGCAGCTGGGCAGATGGAAAAGCATCTGGGCAGGAAGGGGAGACAGCAAATCCTGCCCTCGCTGCAAATGCTGCCCCAAAAAGGGGGTTAATTTTCGAGGACTGAAGGTCCTGCTGACTTTTCCAAGTGTCACAAACATTGTTTTGTCACGGCCTCGGACGCCAAGGGCTCACGAGCAGCGTTCTGTGGGTTTCCCAGGCAGGCACTACTCGAGGCCAGTTCCTCCCAGCTTTGCTAACTCAGCTCAAGGCTGTGCATGAGTGGGTGGCTTTGGCAAGCAGGAGGTTCTGAGAGCTCTCCAGGGCTGCGTGCAGGAGGCAGGTGGGTTTGGGATCCTGGCATCTGGAATTGCTCCTCTCACTCCTACACCTGCCTCAGGGCTGGCTTTGCCCCAGGAGGATGAAGCCACCTCCAAATTCTCACCTGGGCAAGCAGGGCCCTCCGTACCCACTGCTGCATCCCGGTGAGTGGGATCCCCCTGGACATCCCAGGATGATATCCGGCCTGGGGAAACACACAACGGCATTGCTTCTCCATCACATCCCTGCCTGCTGGACCTCACCTCCAGGGGACCACCAGGGCTTTGCAGAAGGCCCACAGGGACCCTCACACACCAACTGCTGGGGACAACTGGCTGCAGATGCTGCTTCAAGTTTCCATCCCTCCCCCTCCTCATTCCCTCTCCCTTGGCTGGCTGGTCACCACAGCCACATCCAAACCTGCGATGGCTCTTTCCAGCTCAATCTGTTCTCACACCATCCATTTGCAAAGTCCCTGGTCTGTTCCTTTGGGGTTTAAATGCCAATTCTCCCTTTTTAACTAAAGCACTTCAAGGCATGGATCACACCAGCCCCACTCAGTCCCCAAACCCGGCAGTGGCGAGCACACCAGGGGGGAGCTCACCTTTGCAGGCTGAGATTGAAGCTCAGAGTCACCAGGATTTTAACCATTACCAAAACATCCCAGTGGCCTCAAAACTGGGAGGTTCCCCGAGCCCCTCATGCCGAGGGGCACAGGGATGAACTGAGGCTGGGTCCTCCCTCCTGCCCCCCAGCAGCAGGTTAGGGCCCCTGCCCCAGGGGTAACAGGGAAGGAGGGCAGGGAGAGTGCTGGGAGAGCCTTGTTGAGGGAATGGGGGAGCCTTGCTGGGGGTAGCCAAGGCAGGGGGTTAAGGGGAAGCACCCACAGGAGCAGCCCCCCCTGCCTGGGGCACCCACAGGGCAGCAGAGCCCCCCCCTCAATGAACTCCCACCTCAATGAACACCCCTCTTAATCAACCCCCCTACAGTGAGCCCCCCCCAATGAAGCCCCCTCTCAATTAACTTTCCCTACAGTAAAACCCCTCTGAATGAACCTCCCCTTCAATAACCCCCTGACAATGAGCCCCCTCCCACAATGGACTCCCCTCTCAGTGAACTTCCCCTACAGTGAGACCCCTCTCAATGAACCTCCCCCTCAACAACCACCCTTACAATGACCCCCCCTCTCCTCAGTGAACCTCCCTCTGCAATGAGCCCCTCCCTCAATGAGCCCCTCCTACAATAAGCCCCCCTCCCCTCAATGAACCTCCCCCTCAATGAACCCCCCTCCCTTCACTGCCCCCCCACCAATGAACTTCCCCTACAACGAGACCCCTCTCAGTGAACCTCCCCCTCAGGAACTCCCTTTACAATGAACTTCCCCCTGCAATGACCTCCCCTCTCCGGTCCCTCCCACCCCTCTCAATGAGCCCCCCCCGTGCCTCTCAATGAACCTCCTCAATGAACGTGACGTCACCAACGCCTCACACTCACCCCCCCGACACACACCCCCCGCTCCCCACGCAGCCAATCAGCGCCCGCGCCGCTCCTTCCCCACCTCCCGCCGGCCAATGGCGGCGCCGCCCGCAGCCAAAACACAGGCGGCGGCCAATGGGGGGGCGCGGGCGCAGCTGGAAGGTTCGAGCGGGGCGCGGGGCGGGGCGCGGGGCGCGGTGCGGGCCAATGGGCGCGGGGGGGGCGTGTCCGCGGCGCCCCCCGCTGCCCGCGGTGTCGGCGGGCGCGGGGCGCTCCGGGCGCTGCGGGGCCGGGCCGGGCCGTGCGGGGCTGCGGCCGCCCCCGCCATGTCGGTGAACATGGAGGAGCTGCGGCACCAGGTGATGATCAACCAGTTCGTGCTGGCGGCCGGCTGCGCCGCCGACCAGGCCAAGCAGCTGCTGCAGGCGGCGCACTGGCAGTTCGAGGTACGGAGGATGGGCCCCCCAACTCCCACCCCATCCCCCCCAACGCTGGCACGGATCGGGATAACCCCCACCCCTCTCCTCCCGTACCGGGATGCCCCAAATCCCAGTCCACGCACCGCCGAGCCGCGGGGCGGAAGGAGCGGGGGGGGCCAGGCCGGCCCGGCCGCGGCCCACGGACACGCGTGGCCGGGTTTTGGGGGGTCCTGCTCCCCCTCCCCCGCACCCACGCGGCGGGGGGGACCGGCCCCCCGCTCCCCCGGTTCTATTTATACCCATGCCGTAACCTGAGCTGCGGCCCAGCACCCCGGCCCCTCCCTCCCCCTCGATCTGGGGGTGGGGGGCCCGCTGGGAGGGGGAGGACGTGTAAACAAGGGGTTTGGGGTGTGTCCCCCGCGCGTGGGGAGCCCGTGTGTGAGTGGGGACACGATCCCCGGTGGGTCGGGCGAAGGGCAGCCCCGGGCTCCCCCTGCCCTAGGCCTGGCGGGCTTGGGGGCGGGGGGCACCCCTGGATGCCCCCCGGGGGGGTCCCACGGGGCTGGGGGCTGGGAGGGGCTGCGGGTTGGGCGTTGGGGGCCCGTGTGATCCTTCCCCCTTTGTCTCGGGTGGGCTGGAGCTGACGGCTTGTCCCCACAGACAGCCCTGAGCGCCTTCTTCCAGGAGACCAACATTCCCAGCAGCCACCACCCCCCAGATGGTAAGTGGGACCCCCGGCCCCCTCCTCACCCCTGCACCGCTCCATCCCCTACCCAACTCCCGTCCCCAAAAACACCTTTAAACCTTCCCCAAAAGCCAGCCAGCCCCCGTCCCCCCACCCCACACACCCTACAAACACCACACGGCTCAGGACCCCCTAGACAAGCATCCCCACTTCTCGGGGCTCCCCTGGAGGGTCGCGCAGCCCCCCGGCCCGAGGAGCTGTCAGCTCCCCTGCCAGCCATATTGCTCTGCGCCCGCAGGAACACGCAGCCGGGGAATGTAAACACGAGCTAAAATGTCTGCCAGGAAATAGTTTGTCTCGGCGAGCATCGCGCTGCAAGTTCGGCTCCCCCCCAGCCCGGGGGGGGCCACGTCTGTGTGTCCCCCCACCCCTGCTCCTCCTCCTTCCCCCCAAACGCCACTTGACCTTGGCCGAGGGCACGTCCCCCCCCTTGGCCGAAGGGAGGAAGTTGTTTCCCCTCCGGGTGTTTTGTGTTGTGTTCCTTGGGGTTTTTGAATTTTTTTTTTGTTAGTTTTTTGGGTTTTTTTCTCCCCCCGGTGAGGGAACTGAAAGGGCCGAGCGCGGGGGAAGGGGTGGATGTGGGTTAAGCCGAATTATCCCCCTTTTCTCAGCTCTCTGCCCCTCAGAGAAAGTAATTTTGCCGGCCGGCTCCCACTGAAACCCCCTTTTTATTTTAATTCCTCCTCCTCCCCTGCACGTTTTATTTGCCACCTCTGGGCGCTTGCAGAGGGGTCGTTCCATGGAAAACCTCGGTTCCCGGTGGGAAGGGGGACAGGAGAGCTGCCGGCAGATCCGAGGCCTGGCTGTGTTTTCACACCAAAAGCCTGGCCGGGTGATTCCTGGGCGGCTGCCGGAAGCGGGATGCAAAGCAGCGCTGATGAAACCCATCCCAGCCCTATCCCTGAGCTCCCTGGGGCCGAGCAGGACCCACCACCCACCCCAAACATGACACCCCCGCCCAGCCCAGCACGGAGGGTCCAGAGCCAGTCAGCTCTCCCCCTGCCCAGCCGGGTGTTTTCCTGACACCATGTGCCCCACACGGTGTAAAAATACCTTCTCCCCAAATACTCCCCATTTCTAGGATTTATTGTTTTTTACTTCCCCCCCTGCCCAGCACCCTGATTGATTCCTGCCGTTTGAACTGCCCCACACGGCTCAGGGCAGGGGTGAGATGAGGAGCTTTGTGCTTGCGGTTTCTATTTCTTTTTCAAGCGTCAGGGAACAAAGCTGTGAGAGCGGCAGCCACAGTTCAGAGTGGGGCAACTGTCACTGTCACCCCTGTGGAGGGGGCGGGGGGGACTTCCCAAACCCCTCCAAACCCCTGCAGAATCTGGGCTGTGGGGCTGGGATTCCCCAGAGCTGTTAGGGATGTTGGTGTGGCTGCTTGTGATGGGGTCGACCCTCAGAGCTCCTCTACAAGTGTTGGAGAAAGAAGGCGATAATTACATGGCAATTTTTTTTTTTTAATTAAATAATGTTTTAAATTAATCTGGCAAACACCACCCCAGAATCTCAGAGCTGTGTGCCCTCTCCAGCATCGCATCCAACCTCAGTCCAGGGCTGGCAGTTGGCATGTGTGTGTGTGCATGGCTCTGCTCGTGGTTGGGTTTTTTTCAAAACAGGGTAAATTACATTTTTTGGTGTGTTTTTTTTTTTTTAAACAAGTATCTTTTCAGATGCTGCCAAATGTATAGGTTATTAATTAAAAAAAAAAAAAAAGGATTAGCACCACTTTGAGCTGAGCTCTGAAATGAGTTCTGTGGAGGAACATCCCTGGCTCACCACAAACCTGCTCAGTGCCAGCCTGGCCTTGATTGATTTTTGGGGTGCCCCAGCTCTGCAGGTTGATGGGAGCTCATCTATCCCACAGCCAGCACAGATCACCCCAACTTTAAATAGACCTGCTGGGACCCCCCCAACCAGGGTTTGGCCATTGCTCCTCTGATCCCTGCATCACTGAGGGTGGCCGGGATGGGGGTGAGGGGGAACCTGTAACAGGGATTTAGCTGTTGGCCCGTGCTGGGGAGCAGCAGGGGGCTGCTGAGCACCAGCCAGGGGTAAATCCTGGGGTAAACCCCAGGAAAAGGGAGATGCAGCAGCTATTCCTCATCAGAAACTTCTCTCAATCCCCCGTTGCTAAAGGTAGCAGATGCTGCCCAAGCCCCTTAACTCTGCTCAAAGTCCCCACAAACATCTGACGGGAGTTGTGGCTTCCTGAGGGCCACAGAGATTTGGGATAGGTTTAACCCACAGAGATGAAGCCCCCACTGTGCAAGCACCACCCCTATGTCCAGGCATCCCCTGGCAGAGCATCCCCCTGCCCTCCCTGCTCATACCCCTTCCCTGGGTGTGCAGCCTCATGGAAGTTTGCACCCCCCATTCCCTTTTTAGCACCCCCAGTACTCAATTGAACAAGTGCTTTGCTGAATTGGGGGTCCCCTGTGCCAGCCCCTGAGCCCCAGTGCGAGGCTGGGTCCCACTTGATGGATTTTCCTCAGCTGGGGAGATTGGCTGGAAAAAGGGCCAAATCCATCACTGTCCAGGCGCTAAATTTAGCTGGATACGCAGAAGGCAGGGGCTGTACCAGGAACTGGGGGGGCCTTGAGGGGCCCTGCCTGCCTTCTGCTCTCTCTGCCATAGCAGGGTGCAAAGGGGAAGTTGGGTCAAGGAACTGGGTGAAAGGGGGTCCTGCAGGGCCAGGTGGGACCCCAACACCTTCCCCACCCATCACACTGCACCCTTTTGCATCAGCCCTGTCCCTGCTGCTCCCCAAACCTGCCTCATCCCTGGGCTTTGAACACCTTGGATGGTCCAGAATCTCCTTCCCAGATCCACTGAAGACACTCCCCGGGCAGCTCTGAGGGAGCCACACAGACCCTCAAGGTCTGGATACCCCATTCCCAGGCTCTGAGCATCCCTGGGGTCTCGGGGGGTTGCCAGGCGTGGGATACAGGCAGGATCCCCGGTGGTGGTGGTGAAACACGACGGGTGAAAGGCAACAGCTCTGGCTACTGTGGTTGGGCTGGGACACACACCCCCCCTACCCCCAAAAGCCTCTCTTGACCGATGTGACACCCACCTTTCTCCTGTCCCCCCGCAGATGTGCACCCCCAGCAACACGCCGGCCACGCCGCCCAACTTCCCGGACGCGCTGGCCATGTTCTCCAAGCTGCGCACCTCGGAGAGCCTGCAGAGCAGCAACAGCCCCATCACCTCCATGGCCTGCTCCCCCCCGGGCAGCTTCAGCCCCTTCTGGGCCTCCTCGCCCCCCAGCCACCAGCCCGCCTGGCTGCCCCCGTCCTCGCCCACCACCCACGGCCTCCATCACCACCTGCACCACCCGCAGCCCTCCTGGCCCCCCGCGCCCCCGCCCGCAGCCCCCCCACAGAAAGCCGTGGCCACCATGGACGGCCAGAGATAAGACTGGGGTTGGAGGAGGGTTGGGGGGTGGGTTCAGGGAAGGGAAGGGGTGGGGGGATCTTGGCCGGGGCGTTGGGAGCGGGGGCTCCCCAAGAAACGCACTGGAATAATTTTCTAGGTTTTATTATTATTTTTAAGGGGGAGGGGAGATGGATGGATGGATGGAGCACGTGCTGCCGGGGAGGGCACCAGCCCCTGAGTGCCTCTGCAAGAGTCGCTGGCTGGTCTTTTCTCCTCCCCTCGCCCCCCCTGCTTTTTTTTAAATATATAACTATAATATATAAATATATCTAATGTATATAAATCCAGAGAGAAGGAGCAGCAGCGTGGAGGCAGCTGCTGGGTGTCTGGGGGGTGGTTTCCCTATGGCTCTACCCCCACCCAGCATCCCTACATCAGGGCAGGAGAGGGAAGTGGGGGGGTGGACAGGAATAACAAAAATGAATGGATGGAGGTGGCTGTCAGCACCCCAGATCATGGCCATGGGGGCACAGAACCACTGGACACCCCTCTCCCCCCAGCTCTGGATTTCCTGGACGCTTGACACAGTGCCCAGAGCAAACCAACCTCTCCTCTGGCTTCTGAAATTCAGCCCAGCTTCTTGCACAGACCCCCCTCGATTTCCCCCCAACCCCGTCCTCCCTTCCCTCCCTCAGCATCCCCAGGGCCTGGGGGATTATCAAGGTGATGCCCCCTCCATCCCTGCAACTGCCATACATGGCCCTTCCCCAGGGAGAGTTGGGGGGTTGGGGGGGGTTTTTTAGTTTTCAAATCAATCTTGCTTAAAAAAAAAAAAAAAGAAAAGAAAAAAAAAAGGAAAAAAAAAAAACCAGCAAAAAACAGGTTGAAGGTTTTTTATTAATTTAAAAATAATAAAAAAAAAACAAACAAAAAAACCCAAAAACAAAATCACTTTTTTAACACTAACTGTCCCTGCCTTTTCTCTCTCCTGGGAGGATGTCCCTGGCTGGGCACTGAGAATGGGGGTGACCCCTCACACGCTCCAGTGTCACCAGTGGGGACTGGCCCTCCCCAGGAGCTGCCACAAGTCCCACGCTCTGCTTCCCCAAACCACTGCTACCATCCCCAAAGAGGGGGGCAGAGAGGAGACCCCCAGCACCCCCAAAACCATGGAGCGAGGACCCCCCTGTGCCAGGGAGTGCAGCCCAAACCCCATCTTGTCCCCTCACAAAACCCCACAGCTTGCAAACCACCCCATCCCCACTGACACGATGAGCCCCCCAGGCCTCAGCACTGCTGGGACACTCAGGGGCTGCCAGGCTTTTGGGGAAACCCTGTGCTGGGGGTGATGCCCTCTGAGTGTCCCCCACTGCAGAAGGGCCACCAGCCCAAGGCCACCGTGCTGCTGCAACAAGTTCCTGGGGTAAAAACCCCCAGAATGGGAACACAGCAGATCTGGTGATGCCAGGAAAGGCTGGGTGGCTCAAAGCACAGTGGCAAAGCATCCCCCAGGGATGGAGAGACCCCCAGCATGGCACAACCTCCAAGGAGAAAAGGCAGAAATCCCCCATCTGGGGCTACTCACCTGCAGCAGAGAGCATCCAGGGAGGGATGTGAGGCTGCTGTGTGTTTAGGGGGGTACAGGGGGTGTTAACAGGGTGCAGCTGAGTCCCAGGGGCTGCAAGTGGGGCAGGGTGTGGGAGACGTGCTGAGCCGGAGGGATTATGAGTATCAAAGGGGTCACCCCAGCTAGGCCATATCCTACAAATGCAATTAGTTCCCGGGGTGTTTTTCAGCCCCTCCGCCCCACCCAGGGGTGCAGGATGGTTCTTTGACTGTCTCTGCTCTGGTGCCTGGTGGTTTGCTCAGAGTGCTCCCAGTTAACCTACTGGAGGTGGCACTGGGGGGGACCTCAGATCCTGCTGTATCCACCTGAACACCCCCAAAGCAGGTTTTGAGCACCCATTTTTTTCCCCTGAAAAAGCAAACCCACCAAGGAAAACATTTGGGGGGGGTTTCCTATGGACTAAGGTGCCTGTGGAGCACAGTAGGGTGGACAGGGATGGAGTCTGTCCCTGTGGTGGAAGGTTTGTGCTTTCCCCCGCAGTTTGGGGAAGAATATTCGCCAGGAGAGCAAGGTTGCCATGGGGCAGCCCCCGGGGACACCCCGCGGGGGTTGAGGGGATGTTCCCCACGAGCTCTGGGGTTCCCCTCCGTGTTTCTCACCCTCCCACTCATCCGAGAGGTGCCGCGGGCTTTGTGTCCCCCCCCACACACACGTGTGCATTGGGGACAACCCCGGCCACGTGTCCCCAGCCGTGACACCCCCCGGGTCCCCCCCGCGCTGCTCCCAGTGGGGGTTCCCTGCCCGGTACCTGCCCAAGTGACACGACTTGTGTCGGGTCTCAGCACACAACACCCATCCACCGGTGAGGGGACGGGTGGCACGGGAGGGGCTGGGGAAAGCAGCGCCAATCCCTGGGGGTGGCATAAGGGAAAGGAGGGGCGTGTCCCCTCCCTATGGGGGCAGGGACAGGTCACGGTGCTCCGGTCTGGAGGTGGGAAGCAGCGGGGCTCGTGCCTTCCTCTTTCCATTGATGGCAGTGCTGGAGAGGGACAAGAGGGTTCCCTTGCTTGGAGATTAAGCAGCCCGGTGATGCTCATCCCATGGGATAACCGATAGCAAACCAGCGGGCTTGGGGTGGGATTTGCTTTTGGCATTAACCCATGTCCTGCTGCTGCTGTTCCCACTGAGGCCCCCCTATCCACTGCCTCCCTGGAGGCAAAGGAACATCTTCCTTCTGCTGCACCTCCCGGCCCCCCAGACCTCCTTTGGGGCCAAAGGCTCCCCTGGCAGGGGCCAGGGGCTGCTAGGGGGAGCACGGGGCTGACACAGACTCTGGAAGGTGCTGTTTTCAGCTCCTCCTTGTTCAAGAAGGAAAAGATTCTGATCCAAAGCCACTCCACTCAGGAAGCACAGGTGCTTGGCTGCTCGTAGCCCTTTACTGCAGGTTGGAATAGCTTGCTCCTTCCATCCAGGACCCCATAGGAGGCCTGCACTGCCGGCCCCGGTAGACGATTCCATCCCTGCCCACCAGGTCAAACACGCCGGGCTGGGAAGGAGAGAGGGGGATGGCTGGAACTCGGGGCTGCATTCAGCATCCCTAAGCCAGCCTCCCTATCCAGCTCTTCCGGGGGAAACCGAGGCACGGATTCCCCCCGGGGATGCTCAGCATCACCCTCCCAGCCTCGTCTGCCCTAGCCTGTATCCCCACCTTCATCATCCCTACCTTGCTGGGGTCCGGGAGGAGGGGCTCCATGGGCTGCACTGGGCAGATGCTGGTGTGCCGGCCCCCACAGTACATGGGGGATCTGCGGGAATATCCCTCTACCTGCTCCCTGTGGGACGGGGCACAGGGATGCTCAGTGCTCAGCACAGGGCACCCCATGTTTCACCCCGCTGTGCCAGGCTGGGGGGCAGGGGTGCTCCCTGGGGGGCTCCCCTCCAGCTGCTGCAGGACACCAGAGCCCGTCCTGCCCTGCAGGGATCTGCCCTTTCCCCACAGCCCCGGGGCCCACGTCCCTACCTCTGGCCGTGCTCCTGGTAGGGTTTGACGATGGGGGGCAGGCGCCCCGTGAGGCCGGGGGACGGCGGCGGAGTGAAGGAGGTGATATCGGAGCGCCTGGAGCGGGCGGGAGAGCCGGGCGGAGAGAGCACAGGGAGGGCAGGAGACCCGGGTGGAGAGGGCCTGCGGAGGGCAGGAGACACGGGTGGGTGACAGGGCCAAACGAGCCAGCCCCGCCACAGCAGGGCACTGCCAGCACCCGCCTGCCCCTGTCCCACCCAGGCACCCCCCGAGGCACCGGTGCCGCTGCTACTCACGGGCCAGGAAACGGCATGGTGAAGGGCTGGTCTCTGGGCAAGTACTCGGGAGAGGACACCTTTAGGATCTTCCTAAAATGGGGGGGAAAGGGCTAGGTGAGCTCCTGAGGGGATGCAGACCTGCCTGTGCAGGCAGCAGCAGGTGCCAGGCACGCAGCTGCAGGGAGTTATGGTGTTTGCAGGGGGGATCGTGGGGTGCTGAGCACGGTTTCTCCCCAGCCCAACCCACGGGCTGGTTACAAAATAAAAGGGGTGCAAGAGGGGAGATGGGTTATTTTCCTGGGGAAAAGCTCCAGCTCATACCAGGCAACAGTGAATCTGCAGAGGGAAGTGCCCAAAAGCCTCAGGCCAGGCAGGGAGGTGAGGTGGCACCACACCTGCCATCCCAACCAGCCCTCACACCCCTGTCCTCGCTTGGTCAGTGCCAGGAGAGCAGGTCACGCCTGGCTCTGGCACTGTCACAGCCCTGCCTGGGGGGATGAGCTGCCATCCCCTACACTTGTCAGGAAAGCTTTGTACTCACATCCCGGGTTCGATCTGGGAGGGCTCCATCCTGAAGCTGCCCCTTCCTTGTGCCTCCTTGGCTGTCCGGGTCCTGCTGCCACTGGGGGGACACAGCACAGCTCCATCACCAGCACCCCCACGGGGCGATCAGCAGATAAATGGGTCCAGTGCCAGGGCCCCACATGGGCCCTGTGGAGGAAACAGGGCCAGTGCTGTCCCCAAAGCCACTGCTGTCCCTGTGGCACTCACCTGTCAGTCCCAGCCACACTCTCAGCTGGGATCCAGAGGGTCTGTGATGGTCGGTGGCCTCGTACTGACTTCATGGGCTGGATGGGGGTGTGGATGCCAGGGGATCCTGGATGCACTCTCAGGGCAGTGACATCACCATCCAAACTCTTTGTCTGAACGTGGGGAGGAGCCTGAGCAAGCAGAGCAGTGTTTCAGCCCCAGCTCTTGCCCCCAAAACTCCATCCCCTTCCCTCAGAGAAGCTCCCCGTGCCTCTGTGAGCTTGAGTTTGAACCAGACTTTGGTCTAAGGGCAGCACAACGGTGGTGCAGAGCCCAGGCGAGGGGGCACCCAAGAGGGAGCACCCGGGGATGGGAAGAGCCTACCTTAGAGAAGCTCATCTCCATCTCTTCGTCCTTGATCTGCTCCATGTCAGTCATCTCAGGGGGAGTACCCAAGGGGCTGGGAAGAGACTCTGCCTTGGAGATTCTCATCTTGATCTCTTCGTGTTTGATCTGTTCCATGTCGTTCATCCCACGGGGAGCATCCAGGAGGCTGGGAAGGGCCTCTGCCTTTGAGATGCTTGTCTTGATCTCTTCATCATCCCCGCTCTGTTCCACGTCACTCAATCCCACGTCACTTTCCACAAAGGACACTCGGGGGCTGCTCACAGCCCCACGTGGCAACTTCTTCCCTCTGCTCCATGCCTTTGGGCTGGGAAGAGCTGCTCCCTTGGAGATGCCCATCTTGATCTCCTCATCCGGGATCTGTCCCATGTCGTTCCATCCCATGTCGCTTTCCATGAAGGAGACTCGGGGGCTGCTCACAGCCCCCTGCGGCAACTTCTTCCCTCTGCTCCATGCCTTTGGGCTGGGAAGAGCCGCTCCCTTGGAGATGCCCATCTGCATCTCTTCGTCCTTGATCGGTCCCATGCTGTTCCGTCCCATGTTGTTCCATCCCATGTCGCTTTCCATGAAGGACACTCGGGGACTGCTCGTGCCCCCAGGTGGCAAGTCCTTCCCTCTGCTCTGTGCCCCGGCCCTGGACTTTGAGGGCATGGGGCTGGGGGCCCGGGTATCCCGCTGCCTTGGTGAGGATGCCGCGAACCTGTCCGCGAGGGTGACTGGGAGAAGAGAGCAGGGGGAGCTCTCTGGGATTGGGGGAGCCCTGGGGAACACAGCTGGGGGAAAACCCAGCAGTCCACAGGCCCCCTGCCTGCCCCGCTGTGCCCCTCACACCCGCTGGATCCCCTCCCCAGGCCTGCCCAGACGTACTTTCATTGCCGATGACAATCAGCCCGTGGTCCTCCCAAGGGTTTGAGCGCATGCCAGGGCCCTGTGGCCAGTCCAGGGGGGCCTGTCCATCCTGGCCCATCACGTCCTTCACAGAAGACTGGGAAGCAGAGAGTGGGATGGCTGCAACGTGGGGCTGCGTTCAGCATCCCCAAGCCAGCCTCCCCACTCAGCTTTTCCTGGGGAAACTGAGGTACAGATGCCCCTCAGATGTTCAGCACCACCCTCCCAGCCTTGGCTCCCTCTCAGCCTTCTCAAGGCTGAACAGGCCCAGCTCCCTCAGCCTTTTCTCAATCCCCAAATCATCTTGGTCGCTCTCCACAGGACCCAGAGGAGCACTGACTCCCCCCCAGCATTGCTGCCCATGCCCTGATGTGGGGGGACAGGGCGCACTGGGGGGTCCCCTGGGAATGCAGGCACATCCTGTCCCAGAGCAGGGCCCGGGTGTGCTCAGGGATGTACCATGACACTGTCCACCAACTGGTCACGGAGGTTCTCCAGGATATCCTCGAAGTTCACCTGGAGTGGGGCGAGGAGAGGGAACAGCAGTCAGAACACAGGAGCAGGATTTAAAAGGAACATCTGCAAATTATCGCAGGCACAAGGCAGAGGGACTCTGGGCAGGGCTGTGCCCAGGGGCTGTGGCTGTATTGCACGGGTGGATCTTTATCTGCCATCCTTCCCAGCACGTTACTTTTCTGGTGGCTGTTGAGTTCACAAGTGCCTCAGCATCCCTGGGGCAGTGCTCTGGGGAGGAGAGGGGCTCTGGTGGGTTGGGCTGAGCTCCCACGTTCCTCTCCAGGAACACCCTTCCCACTCTTCTCTTCTGGTGCCCTTCACACTGGGAGCCAGCAAGGGCTGTAGAGCAGGGGCAGCAGGGCAACACAGTAAGGGGCATCTCCCAGGGGTTCTGTTGGTAGCTCACCGTGTCCAGAGTCTCCTGCATCTTCTGCATGTTCTCTGCCATTTGGGACTGCTGCTCCTTCATCTCGTTGATCTCCACACGGAGCCCCTCGCAAAGAGCCCTGACCTAGGAGAGGGGGATGGCAGGGTGAGCCCCAGGGCAGGGTCGCTGGGGAGCAGATCCTTCCCCACACTGTGGTCTGCACAGGGCACAGGACAGGCTGGCATGGGACACTGCTGGGCCTCCATCACATCTTCAGCAGCTGCCCAGCAGCACAGCAGTGGTGCAGACCCCAGAGGAGGGGGCTGGGAAGAGCCTCTACCTCAGCGATTTCTCTTTCATTGGCTTCCGTTCTCTGCTTTAACTCCTCAATGTCAGCAGCCACAGAGGAAGGTGGGGGGATTTTCGGGGCCCCCTCCAGGGGTTCCCCGCTGTCCTGGATGGGCAGATCCTGCAGGCCCAGGTTCACAAGCATCCCCTTCAGCAGGTTGCGCAGCTTCTCAAAGTTGATGGGCTCAGTCTTGGGCGTCCCGATGGCCGAATCCAGCATCTGGCCCAGGGTGAGCTCTGCCATGGCTGCTGACCTGAAAACACAGACCTGCTGTGAGCAAGGGCCTTCTGTGCTACTGCTCCAGACAGGAGCAGTGGGATGGCAGGTGGCAGGAGGTGTGGCAGGGAGCAGAGCAAAGGTACACAGCTGACAGGCTCCTTCCTCTTGGGTTTCCTCCTCGTTCCTTGCTGCATGTGGCTCTGTTTATGGTGTCCCCCGTTTCAAGGCGATGGCCCACCCTGGCACGGGTCACCCATTGTTACACAGCGGCAGCCCAGCCCTCTGTGGAACCTCCCCATTGTCCCTCACTGCTGGCATATCCAGGTTCTGGCAGCCAGTGGAATCCATGTGCTGAGGCACCTCCAGCCTTACCATTTTCAGCCCCAAAATGACCACGGGGATGGCCCAGGTGCCCCTTGCAGGGAGAGCTGTGCCCTGTGGAGAGAGGTGATCCATGTGCTCACACACGCTGGGTGGTTCTGGAATACTGGTGCAAGGGGGGAAATGGGTTACTTGTGGGTTCCCACCTGGGAAAAAGCTGCAGCTCATATAAGACAACAGTGAATCCACAGAGGGAAGTGCCCCAAACCCACCACCGTGGGAATTCCTCCCAGGGGCACCCACAGCAGCCCAGTCCCATAGGAACTGGGGCAGGTGGCAAGGCCAACAGGCTGGGTGTTGTGGCTGCAGGAGCTGGGGGTCTCTGTGGGGTGGGCAGCCTTTGCCTTTGGCCTCTCAGGGGGTACTCGAGTTTGGCTCCATGAGCTCAGGGGCTGGGGACAGGGACGGGCTGAGGGGGTCTGGGTCTGCCCTTGGTGCTGACCAAGCGAGGACACAGGTGTGAGGGCAGGTTAGGATGGCAGGTGAGGGTGTCTGTGTCCTTTACCTCACATCCCTGCCTGCCCTGGGCAGCCACTGAGTTTCAGAGGGGCTCCATCCCAAAGCTGCCCCCTGCTCCTCGTGCCTCCTTGAGTGTCAGGAACCTGCTAGGAGGAGATGGGACAGCTACACGAGCGTTCCCAGGGACTGTTTGCTGGCTAACTGGGTCTGGTGCCAGGGCACCACACAGGCCCTGGCTAGGACAGACAGAGGGAATGGGCCCAGTGCTGTCCCCATGGCACTCACCTGTCAGCCCCAGCCACACTGCTGCCCAGAGGGTCCGTGCTGCTGGGGGACCTCGTGCTGGCTGCACCCTCGGGATGGAGGTGTGGGTGCTGGGGGATCCTGGATGCAGGACCCAGCACTTGCCTTTGTTGGATTTCAAAAGGTTCCTCCCCAGTCCAAAGGGTTTCGGGTGCCACATGTCCCACAGAGGGGCTGCGGTGGGACGTCAATCCAGGCTGGCCCTCAAGGGGCTCCCAGCTCCTGCTGTTTTTCCCACCACCCTGAACATGGCCCTTTTCCGAGCAGAGAGCACACACTGGACCAGCTGAGGAGCTGCCCTGGCTCTGCCCAAGCCTGGTCCTGCTTCCCCCTGGGATGTGCAGGGCAGAGCTGAGCAACCCTGGCAGAGGCCCTGGGGTGTGCAGTGGCTGTAGGTGCTGGGGGCTGCCAACAACTTTGTTGAGCTTTCACTTCTATATTAAACCTGCTTTTGCTGGTGATTCTGTAAGTGACCCAAAACATCCATTCGCCACAGTGACCCCAGGGACAGCAGCACACCCCTCTGCCCACTGGTGCCCTGGTTCCACCGTTTCTACGCAAATACAGAAAGAGCAATACCTCTCACATTTTTAACACTGCCTTTCAGGATGGAGATCATGGTCTGGCACTGGCTTGGAACAAGGGGGCACACAGACACCTACAAGGACTTCACACGCTTCAGTTGATCCTTTCAGTACTTGCAGCACAGCAGTGTTACCCACCAGGCTGAGGAGCCACACTGTGGCCACAGAGTACAGCTGGGATTTGTTTGTGGTATCTTGAAAATGCAGGAAACCCATCAACAGCTTTGAGACCTCATGCAGCCCTGCACATCCCTCGTGGGATGTGGCTTGGAGGTTTAATCCATGCTGGTCCAACCACTCTGTGCTGAGGTAGCTTTGTCTGCCTGGTGTTCAAGGCTTGTCCTGCTCAGTCACTGCCAGCCCCTGGCCCCATACATATTTTAGATGCTGGAGTAGGAGAGAAAGGTGTAGAATAAGGATAAGCAAAACTAAACAGTTCTTAGGCTGTTGAAGCAACTGCTTTCAGCAGCTTTTATTTGTTCCTCACATCAGCAGGCTAGAAAGCGGTGTAGGTTTTACTGGAGTGTGTTTGTCTCATCAAGGGGGAAGATCACAGTTTGGGAATTCATCCTTATATCATCCTGGAGACAAGGCCCTCCACATGCACCTTGTGCTGCTTCCTCAAGTGTCCCCTCCACCCCAAAATTAGTATCACTCAAGACAGGAATGATCAGGAAGTCCTACCTCTCTGTGGCAGAGGGCTGCAAGCTGCCAAGTGAGCCTGGTTACAGCAACAGCCCCACTGAACACACCCAGCAGCTGCTCAGAGGGTACAGCATTCACAGGAAGCACCGGCATTGAAAAATCTTACGCTTTTTATTGCAGGTTCAGTGTTAGTGTTTTGGAGAGCACAGCTGCAGTAGAAGCAGACATTGTTCCATCTTCCCTTCCCCACGAGACTCTGCCACAAACTCACCAGCCCCAGGCAACTCCAAAAATTGTGCCTGGCTTTGCAGTGCAGACAAGTGTTCAAGTGAGGACCAAGACCCTCATGTGACTTGTCACCGAAGAACAATAATGATCCGAAAGCTGGCGAAATGAAAAGGCCAACACATTAACTGGCGTTCCCTGCTCCGCTGGGAGACACGTGAGCTTGTTCCCAGCTCCCTGACACAAGGATGGGAGCGGCCCTGCGAGCGGGTTGCCCTAAGCTGTCCTTTTGGGATGTTCTGCTAACTTAGCTCTGATGAAAGTCCTTGCTCTGCTGTGCAGGAGATGAGAGGCCACTCACTTGGCAAGGAGCTGCTGTGCTGCTCAGCTCTGCCAGCAGAACGTTCCCTTCTGTGCTCTTGGGTGAGCCACAGGCAGAAACAACCCCAAAGGCTGCTCCTGCTTGCCCACACAGCAATGAACAGTCCCTATTCCCTTCTCATAAGCTGACAGCTACTTCTGTTTAGCTTTTCTTTCCACCCCTACAGGGCAAGAGATATAACACACTAAAAAAAAAAAATCATTAAAGGAACTTAAAAATTCAACACCACCTTCTTTTAATTAAGGTGTAACCCTCCCCACTGCCAGTGGCCTCTTCTATTCAACTGTAAAGTGCTGGTCAGGTTGACTTTTTTTTTTCTATTAGATCTCATGGCTCAAAGACCCTGAAAACCCTCACGCTCCTACAAAAATAAACAGTTGTGTTATGCCTATATTTTATGGTATTGCCTTTTCATGCACATTTCCTTCTCCTGTGGAGCCCAGGACGGCGGCAGCGCCGGGTCTAGTCATCGACAGTGATGTTGCGGAAGAGGTAAGCCATGGACTCGCCGTTGTGGATCCGCCGGATGGCTTCCGACAGGATCAAACTGATATCCACAGTCTTTATCTTGGGGCACTGCAGCTTCTGCACCTCGTGAGGAACCGTGTTGGTCACCACCACCTATGGATGGCAAGAAAGAAGAGTTGTGCCACTGAAACACTCGCTCCCCTGAGAAGCCACCCTGGATTAGCTCCAGGAGGGACGTGCACCTGCTGTTTCACAGTTCAGGGGGGAGGAATCCTTGTGGGATGGAAATAAATGGTCTCCCCCACATGACAGTCAATCTGTCTGAGGGGACCAGCACAACCAGCACTCTCCAGCAGCCACCCCCACACACAGGCTGATGGGTCTGCTCAGTTCACAGGATCTGACATGTTTGTTACTAAGGGGGAGGTGTGGAATCTTGTCCTCTCGGTGCAGCTGGGGCAGAGGGGCAGGGAGAAGGGCTGTACAGTGAGATGGCAGCCACCAGCTTCAGTAAGGGAAGTGTCCAGGCAGGGATGACTAATACCTGCATTAGGGAGAAAACATACTCAGGGTTCAGATCTGATCTGAACAGGTGTTAATCACACACACTTTTTTTTGTTCCAATGAAGAACCAGCTAACTGAAAGCACCTGATTACACCAGTGATTTGGGAGATGAGCTGTGTGGCATGGGAAGGACATCAGTCTGTGAGTTTGGATGTCACCAGAGCCAGCCCCTCCTCTGCAGAAAGCAGACTCACCTCGTCGATGGAGGATTCCTCTATGAGACGGGGGGCATCTGCGGACAGGAGCCCGTGAGTCGCCATCACAAAAATCTTGTAGGCTCCACGCTCTTTCAGGATCTCTGCAGCAGCTACAAAGCTTTCCACGTCATCAATGATGTCATCCTGAGGGGAAACAGACAGAACCTCAAAAACAGAAGTTTATAGTGCCTGCAGGGCAGGAGTGGATCTGCAAGGTACTGCAGCTTTGGCCATGCACACAGATGAAAAATATAATCCCTGTCTACTTCAGCAGCTGGTGAGAAGCAAGGGCAGCCACGTGCATGACTTTAACCTGTGAATGCCATTTTCCTAGTGTAGGGACCCTTTTTCTAGTGAGGAGAACAAATACTGGGTCTTGGAAACAAATCAGTCCCTGCACATGCACAGAGCTTATCATCAGCAAGGTGTTTTTTCATGGGGGTAGGAGCTGCACGTTGATTGCTTACACTGCAGCGTGGCACAGAAAGTATGAGAAGCTCGGCAAGTTTTCTTGTTTATTTGTTGTTTGGGTTTTTTTTAAACACTTCAGGAGTTTATTCTTCATGTCCTGGATTTATTCAGTATGTGCAGACATCTGACATTTGTAGAATTAAGGGAGCAGGGAGATTTTAGGGCTTAAAGTGCTGAAGTACAAAGGGTTTTCTACAGCAAGTTGAAATAATTGAAGCCACCAGCAAAACTGGAGAAAACAGTGTCTAACAATCATGTTCCCACCCCTACACCAGCAATCCCTCCTACCCTCAGGGATAGAGCAGCTCAAGGTAAGATGCTGTGAGGAAGCCACCCCCCAACTGCCCCTGTCACACTCATACCACTATGATGGCAATTCTTCCTCCAACATCTCCAACCACAGTTATTGGGGGTTTCTCCTTGGCCATCATCACTAAAGAAGAAGAGAAAAAAGGACTCCAGGTCAGTCAGGCTTGAATCAAACCCCAACAGCTCCACCACACAAGAGGCTGAACCCTTAAACATCTTCTATTGCACAGACACAGACGTGCTTTACGTTGTCCTGACACCCACCTCAGTGGGAAAGCACTGGTTTAACCATCACCTTCCTCCTTAAATGAGCACTGCCTCACAACGAGGAAACTCTGTTTCTGTGGGGACCTCAGAGACAGCAAGCAAACCCAACAATCTAACAGGTCCCTGTGCAAGGAGAGCTACAAAGCAGCACCTGGTTCATGGGACATGTGGGTGATTTTCTTTTTCCCTCAGAACAAGACTGGAAACAGGTCATGCTTGGGATAAACAAATGGGATTCTCTGAGCAGCACCTCTCAAAGGGCAGGTGCTTCACAAGCTGCAACTTTTCACCTGTTGGACTCAGTAATCCATTTGCAGGATCAGAGGCTTGCACTGCAGCTCCTGCTTTCTCACATCAACAAACACACAAGGCTCTTTCAGAGGGTGTAAGAACCTTAATACCACCTGCTCAGGCAAAGAAAGCTTAAGGAAGTTTGCAGAAGCAAATTTGCTGATTTTTTTTTTTCTTTTTAAGTGGATTAATGGAAAGAGCAGGACAAAATCCAGTTGAAACACAGTTGTACAAGCTCAGTGCAACCAGCAATTGGATCAAAAGGATCTGACAAGCACTGACAAGGTAGCACTGACAAGTTGTGCTACCAGAAACAGTGAAGAGAAAGTACTGGGAAATAAGGTTCCACTCCCTCCTGACTCTGCTTTTGCACTGACATGGTTTGTGCCAAACTACACCTTGCCAAACTTCCAGCAGCAGTACAAAAATAAAGAGACACGAACTGGGATGCACTGAGAGCCTCCAGATGTAACACAGCCTGCAGACTTACATCAAACAGCAAGTGGCCTCTGATACAGGCCAGGGACTTGCTGTCCATCAGTCAAACCTGTCCCTGCCACAGGGTGCTGGTCTGTTCAGTACAAAAACTTCCAGCATGGGAAGGACACTGTGGTGGGCACACAGGTGACAATCTGGACCGATCTAAGCACTGAAGCAAAGAGGAACATCCAGCATTTTGTAACACTTACCTGGCCCACCTCCACACCTCCCCCCTCCCAGATTTGATGCTCTCTATGGGGAGTGCAGCAAAGTGTCCTACCAAGGACCCCTCCCTTTTGTAAGCTCAGGTCTTGCCAGGATTCTGACCACAGAGGCTTCTCAAGTGCTGAGGAGTTTCAGACAACCTACACAGCAAGACCTTTCTCCTTTAGGATAACCTACTTCGATGTAATACCTGAGCAGCAGGAGAACAGAAGCCGCTGCCCATCAAAAAGCCTGTCTGAATATTGATTTCTGCCCTCCTGGATCAAAATAGTTCTGCATGAAACTCCCCATCCTGCCCAGCAGGCTGATCCAGTAGTATTCCCACATCTCATCAGTGCCTGGGAATGCTCAGAGTGCGAGCACAGCTGAGTGAGTGAGTCACACTGAGGGATGTGATGAAAGCAATTTTAAGGACCACAGCTTCGAAGATTCATGTGTAGAGTTGTTCTTCACACACACAACCTACTCCACAGACTGGTTTTCAATAAACCTACCAAAACTCTACAAGAGGTGTCCAATAGTTCTGTTTTGACCACAGTTCCATCACTCATAGCCAGGTTTTGCAGTTAAAAGTCACAGCTACCTTGGACTGAAGAGTTAATAGCTCTTCATGGCACAGACCCCCCAGCCTCCCTTGCATGGTATTGGAGTCTCCTATCAAATGCAAAGTCACCTCTAATCCTGAAGGGAAAACATTCTTATGAGAAGGAAGAGTATTTGAAATAAATGCAGCTTAAGCACCACAAGAGATAAGCAGATCATAAATTTCAATTACAGGCACTACCGACCTGCTTAGGTTAGTTATTAGTTTGTTATCTAGTTTGGACAGTAATAAAGCTCCTGGTGGGAGCTGGGAAGTATCAAAAGGATTCCACCTGGCTGCCATCCCATCCTCCATGTGTATCCACAGACGAGTGCCATCTCTGGTTACAACAGCCAGCTTAGGGGAATCTTTCTGCACAAATGGTGAACAGACCTAGAGAGCTGAAATTCAACACTATTTTACTCACAGAGACATGAAGTTTCAGCAAATCAGTTATCCTTCTACTCCATAAAGGAAGCAGACACTTGCTATGCTTAAAGGCTAACATGGCAACTAGCAACATCAGCAGTGCTTTGCATCTCTGTTTTTAAAAAAGCCGTATTTCAGTTTTGTTTTATTTTTAAAGAATGGTAGGCAACGTGTCGACCTACCCGGATCTTAAAGAGATGTTCTCCCTTTTTCTTGTTCAATTTTCTCTGCAAAAAAAACAGAAAAAAAAAATTGCAAGCCAAAGATCCACCCACAACCACATCAAATCTCAAGAGAACTGCTCCGACGTGATGGAGGTTTACACAAAGGTTGCTGCAGCCAGTTTCTTCTTCCAAATCTTTGGACATATCAAGATGTGCAAGTCAGAACTGCTATGAGAAGGTGGCTTGAAAAGTGATTCAAATAATAAAGAGCATTTTCTTCCCAGACTGAAAACCTCTGTTTACACGTAGACAAAAGGAGGGTAACAGAAATAAGCCACAGTGGTACTTCTGCCTGGTGTAACCCCTTGGATCATGTACAAGTTTAGGTTAAAGAGTTGCTGACTTTTTCTGGAGAGTCAGAAAAGATGCTTGTGGTATCTGTAGCTTCGGGGGGAGAGAAATAAAAGAGAAAAAACCAGACCACCATTTTTATAAAACAAGAATATCAAAGAACACTTTCACTCTGATGTGTGTAACATATACTCAAGTACCACGCGTTAAAGGCAAGATTATCACAACGAGGAAACAGCATTCCCACGTGTGTAAACCTGTTGCTGCAATTAAGCAGTTAAAAATGGGTTAAGAAACGCTAAAATAAATTCTGTTTGGAGCTGACAATGTGATTTAAAGTGATAATCACCAAGAACTGTAAAGCTGCATTTACAACAGAGCCTGTGAGCAAAAGGCTGCTCAAAGAACGAACTGTTTTGTGTCGAGATAACCCTGGAAGGACAGAAAACATCCCTGTGCCCAGCCTAAACACAGGAAAGATGGGGGTAGGGAAGGAGGAATGGACCTGTGGTCACTCCAGCTTTTCCCCCCCCAAACTCTCTTCCTTCGTGGCAGTTTGCTGGGCCCTGGGTTTGAACCCTCAGCTCTGAATAAAGCACTGAACTCCAGAGCCACTGAAACGATTTAACAGATGGTGCTCCGCTCTCTCTCTCTCTCTCCAGGACGAGGAGACATGCAAAGAGTCCACATGCATTTGTTAAGGCACAGCCCCGAGCCAGCTGCAAGCTCTGAGACACAAAAGCACACAATCAAAGGGAATAACCCCGGAGTGACGTCCTGTCTCAAAGGCTCTGCTTTCAGGAGTGACGTGGATGCTGCTGCTGCTGCTCCAGCACAGCATTTTAAGTGCAATCAGAAGCACTTCTGGCATTTTTCTGTTGTGGCTCCACATGAATCACAGTATCACATCAGGCCACACTCACAGGACAATAAATAAGCCATTACACTGCACAGCACTCATTAATTAGAGGCACATGATCTCTCCCAGAACGGGGAGACAAGGTGCATGCCAGGACACAGGAGCCCAGCCAATTCACTAGGAAGCCCATGAGGAATGGCACAAAGCATAAGCCATCGCTGTGGGGCTCTGGGGCTGCTCCCAGGCACAGGTTTCACCTCTCTCCTGGCTCTAATACAACTGCCTGGAGCCTGAACTGCCCAGTCTAGGATGCTCCACAATAATCTGGTTGTAGCCTACGGCAGGATGCTCCACAGTAAGTCTCAGCCACTCTCCAGGAGTACCCCCACCTGCCTGACCCAGGCCAGGGTTCCCAAGCCAGGCAGACCCAGGCTGGTTCTGTTTTGACAATTAGAGGGTTTTGGGACAGTCTTGGTGTAAGGAAGCATCCAGCTCTGGGTGAGCAGCATGTGTCTGACCTTTCATACAGGGGCACAGCTTCACTCTGCCCTCAGAGCTCACACCTCTGGAAACGCTGGTGATGGCACATGGCAGGAAGAGCTGATGGAGGATCTGGTAGGATGTGACATTTGAGGTGGGAAGATGCTTTTCAAATGACTGAATTGGACAAGAAAGGAGGCACAGCAGAGAGGGTAAGTACAGACACTCACAGCACTGCCATCCCCAAAACCCATCTGCATTTTCAGCTCTGTCTGGCAGAGCACAGCTCCCTTTCAGAGGCTGACACACAACCAGGACGCACTAGAAGCTTACAGACTGCTTTTAGACAGGGATTACCTCAGAATTCTGCACCTCCAGGAACAGAGCCCAGCTCACTCCAACCTGGGTATTTATCAGGTTACAAAACTGGACAGAAAAGCAACTTCCTACTGAGAGTTTTGGAAAAGTTTGCCCCACAATCCACCCCACAACTGACAGCTCCCAAGCCTCAGCTTGACTGTTTTACATTTGTGCCTTAGGCATGCAGGGAGGTCACTGGTCAAGTGCTGAGTTTGTGCAAGAGGTAAAATAAGAAAGTGGTGATACACAGCAAGCTAGTTTGTGTTTGGATAGCTGAGGACTGAAAACAATTTTCCCCTGGAATCATAACTAAACTGGACAGGGACAAATTTCTGTCTGAGCTACCATTCACAGGGCTCTCCAGCAGCACAAGCTCCCACAGCTGAGCTTCCCTGAAGTGACATGTGGTTGGAAATAAAAACACAAAACCATCAATGCCTCAGTAGCAGACAAGTGTCAACTAGTGGTATTTTGGAGGACAGCATCCCCTTCAGAGTAGGAGGGGAGGGAAAAGGGTAAGAGCAACCATGCAAACTCCTGTTTTGTTGGAAGGGCATGAAAAAAAATCCCCGTGTCAGAACGGGGGGCAATCAAGATGAAGTCCCAAACTTCGCTGCCAAACCCCACCTGGCCCTCAAGGCCCAAGAAGAGTTTCACCAGCAACATAAGCACTGTTTGTGTTCTAGTGAGCAACGACTGGGGTGATGTGAAATACCTGCAGTTTTAATTGCCTGCCCTCCACCAGCTGCCCACAAACTGGTTGGATGTTCTCCCTGAACTTCAAAAGAGGAGAGGCTTATCAGTAGTCCCAACCTCTGCTGGTGTAATTAAGTTGGGCTGCATGATGGAGAGCTCCTCACCACACAGAGCAGCACCCAGCCTTTCCCACGGTCACTTCTCAGCCACGTTCACTGATCCCAATTTCTGTCCTGCCACCACATACCTGGAAAGCTAAAATCCTCCCTAGAGAGATGTATTTTAATTCTACTGTTGTTATTGCACTGCTGCAGGAAAACAAGCAATCCTGAAGATGGCATTTCCCAGAACACAGGTTTCCTCCTTTTTCCTTTGCTGTCTGCTCCCAAATCAGCAGCTTATCAATCAGTGGCAGGAGCTCAGGAAACAGCTCAGCAATGCTCTTGGAGAAACTATTCACCACAAACCTCCAAGCCTTGTTAAAACAGATGCTGGAACATGATCACCTGGCTGCCAAGATGAAGAGAATTTCCAGCAGTAACAATGGCTGCAGCAGAAGGGGAAGATAAAGGTCAGACCCTCCCCTCCACGATGGAGCAGCAGCTCCCTCATTACTTGCACTTTTGCATTTCTTTTGTTTCATTATCTCAGTGAGTTCAGTTGCTGAGCGCTGTAAAAGCACCACCTTTATCAGAGGTTTGTCAGTCTGACACTGCTGAGCAGGCACAGCCCAGGAGAACGATATTGATGCTCTGCATGGCCAGAAGGAGTTAAATAAAAACCTTCCCCTGTGACTTCTCCTACAAGTCGCTGATATCAACCTTTCCATGAGAAAAATTCCAGTGGTCCCACTGCCATCAGGTTGGTTATAAACCAAGAGAAACTTCCCACCAAAATTCTTTTTTTCCTCCCCCACCCAAGGGTAAGCAGAGAAACTTGATCTTACAGGGCAGCTCCAGGCCAGGGTGCACAGTTGCATTTTTGAGCATTGGAGGGGAGTGACGCCCGTCATCCATGTCCTGCTCCGTGCACTGAGCCTCCCCGTGGATCACCGCCAGGCCCAGCCGCAGCCTCTCCGCGTAGGACTGAGCCCTGCAGGACAAACAGCCGGTCAGGAAGGGGTTGGGCTGATGCAGCTTCACAGCCCAGCCCACCGAGACTCCCCCAGAGCCAACAGCAAGCAAAGGCTGCACCTCTGGAGTTGTTCCCCAGCAAGAAACTTCACTGGAAGTGGTTTTTCATTTGTCCTTAATATCCTGAAGTTCACTCTACCCCTTGGCTCCACCATGGGGCCTCCTGTGTTCCTCCATGTATCTCCATTCTGAGATAGTCAGGCACTGCTCAAACTCAAGCAGCAAGTCTGATCCTAACCCCAGGTGAACCACTTTGCTCTGCAGCAGCAGAGACCTCCAGAGTTTACTCCCACACTCCCATACTTTCCCTGCTGTATTTCCCACCAGCTCAGGCATTTTCCAGTTTAATTTTAACCAGCTAGTAAAGCATCCATTTACCTTTTAGCCGCACCAGGAGATTTGGCTACAATAACTGCGTTTCTGTAATCTGGAATCTGGATGTGATAAAAGGTTATTTGATTAAAGAAAGATCTTCTTGCCAGTAACTGTTTTGATGCATGGCTAAATAATGATGCCCACCCTCATCCCCAGACCCAAATTTCTCTCTGAAAGAGAGAAAGAGGCAGCTGCACTTGCTTTCAACACCAGTATTTGTGTATTCTGCAAAGGTGGGAATGTTCCTGGTGTTTAACCCTCCCCATATGGGGAGGCCTTGCTCTCACCATGTGGGAATAAATCCCCAGCTTTTGCACATGGAGGAGGAAACCTCCATGCCCTGCCCCCAGCTCAGCATTCCTACACTCAGCCCAAGACAAAGTCTATCAATAATTCAGAACAGTCAGAAATCCACCACTGCCCAAGGGGTAAGGGAGGCAGTGGAACAGGATTTTAAAAGTGTTTAGAGGCAGGAACACAAACAGCATCTCTGCAATGGCACTAACTCTACAGAGAGCAAGCTCCTCTCCTGATTGTGGTGGAGCTCAACTTCCATCCAGGTACAATCATAAAGTGTAACACCTTCCCGCTTTCCTAAGAAACATGCAACAGGCGCCCCCTAAGAAAGAATTCCTTAACAGAAGGATTGACCTAGACTGATAAGACCACCTCTGCTTAAGGAGAGGCTCAATCCTGCTGCCATATTAAGATAAAACAAATTGATATACACAGAACTAGAGTAACCTCACTTCTTCCTGTATATACTGAAGCAAGAAAGGGGATGCTCTCAGGTTGTCTACTGGAAAGCTGAAGAAGCCTTGGATTTCCTTTTGATGAAGGTCCATCGTGATAATGTGTGTTAAACCTAAAGGCAAAAAGAAGAGAGCAGTTAATGGAAAATATTCCCACATGGCTGGAGTTCCTTGAATATCCCTATTTTCCAGACTTTTTTAGCTGTTACTCAGACTATTGTGCCATGTCATAAAATAATCATAAACAGATGGGATGTAGAAAGTTCCCAGGACATAGAGACAAACAGGCAGGCAGTGTCACAGCACTGGGCTGACACTGTTATTTCACTACAGCATTTCTAGGCCACTTCCCCCGGTGTGAGTCACAAAGAAACACAAGAAAGCCAAAGGAAATTAATTCCCCCAAAGTGGCTCAAGAGCTCAGCAGCACATCCCCACGTCTGATGGGAGATGAACTGAAGGACAGATGCCCTCTGGATGCCCCTCCCTGTGCCACTCACCTGCCTTGGCCAGCATGGAAGCCAGCAGCTTGCAGACTATAGAGCCCCTCTTCCTCATCTTGCTCTGTTTGCTGTAGGGGAAGTAAGGGATGACCCCGATGATGTTCCTGGCACAGGAAGTCTTCAGTGCATACGCCATTATCAGCAGCTCCATGACAGCAGTGTTCACATCTCTAGGCCATTTGAAAAGCAATTCCAAGTATTAGCAGGTGTTTTTCCAGTGCAACTCCTTTGCCATTTGTACCCAGAGCTCTCCTCACCAAAGTTCCAGGGAAACCACGCCACATCTTAGGCTAATGTATGCAAGACCCAGACTGCAGCCATATAGCTCCTTCCACCACGCCACAACACGTTACAATCAACTCTTACACGTACAGAACACGACTCCAGCACTCAAGAGCTGGGGACTGGAATCTGATTTAATATTCTAACATGAGGTATATGATGATTTCTCTCCATCATCACATTAAAAAAAAAAGGATTTCTTTAAAATTTATCTTGGAACACATATTACCTGATACAGTGTATTTTGAAATGAAATAGCCTTTTAAAGAAGCAGCACATATGCAGCCAACACAACGTTATCCACACTGGATTCATTAGGGTAATTTTCTTTTTTAAAAATGTAAGGCAGGTTATTTTTTCTGCCTTAAGAAATAATGCATTTTGGAGCACAGAAATTCCACACGTATCACTTTGGTGAAGTCAGCATCTCCACCCTCTCCAGCTTATCTAGAGATGGAGGGAACAACAGCACAGGAAATGCTAAAGGACTGTTTCTTGAAAGAAAACAATAAAACAAAACCAAAAAGCAACATAGGCAGAAGAACCATAGAATATGGTGAGTTGGAAGGGACCCACCAGGATCATCCAGTCAAACTCCTGGTCCTGTGCAGGACACCCCAACAACCCCACCCTGTGCCTGAGAGTGTTGTCCAAATGCTTCTTGAACTGAGACAGGCTTGGTGCTGTGCCCACTGCCCTGGGGACCCTGTTCCAGTGCTCAGCGACTGTCTAGGCGAAAAAACCTTTTCCTGATACCCAACCTAAACCTCCCCTGACTCAGCTTCATGCCATTTCCTCGAGTCTTGTCACTGGTCATGAGAGTGAAATATCCCATTTTCAGTTTGCTCCACCATGAGGACTGGCATGGCCATTCATCTGCATTTTAATTCATTTTAAGAAGGAGAAGAAAACCCCAATCCTCTTTAGTTCCTTAAAGCCAACACCAAAGAGACACTGTCTGCGTGGTCACAGACTGACCTGAGACCACTGGGGAACTGAAGAATGCACACACAGACACTTCAGACAGTGGGACAGACAATCCTCCTGCAACACAGACACCCCTGCCTGGGAGTTTCCAGCCTCCAGTGACACACCACATCCCCAGACTGGTCAGGAGGGCAGTGCTGGGGCTGACTGGGCCATCTTTTCACACAGCAGCAGAGGAATAAACAGCACAGAGCAGCCTAAAGCTCCGCAGAACATTTTGGACGTTGCCCAGACACTGCTCAGGACCTGTTTTCCTCCCAGGCACCAGAGACAGCTTCTCCAACTGCTCAGAGACATGACCTGTGACAAACCCCTGACCATTTCCATCTCCCCACAGCTCTCCCTTCCTTTGGAAATCAACCTCCACTTGTGCCTCTTCATTTGTGAGGCTCTGGGTCTCTGTTCTCCCGCTGGCTCCACCACAATGCCATGTACACACAAGAAAGCTTTGTTGGCTCTGCAGCACCCAGCCAAGAATTACATAAAACACAGCCCCCTGCCACACAGGACAACGAGCAAACAAAGAACTGTTTCTTCCTTTTAGTGTCTTAGCTGTGCCAGTGGGGTCAGGAGAGAAGAAAGAGATGCTACTATCAGTGTCATACAAAAACAAAGTGGTCAAGTTTAGGCCTATTTAAAGTTCATTATTTTTCATCACTAGTTTTCAACTTTCTCCTTAAATATATATAAAAAAAAATATATATATATATATTCACCTGGAAAGCAGATAAAAGAACAAGACTGGGAGAAAGGTTTTAAAATGCAACTGCAGTCCTGGTGTTGCTGTGGGACAGGGGTAGCCCTATTGAAATTACTCAAGGAGGAGCACACCTCTCAGTATTCCAGCAGGATTCCATGCTGGGCTCCAGAAAGCTCCTGCAGACCAGCTGGCACAGGCACTGGGCAGAGGTGGGTGTGTCTGTCACTCCAGCAGGGCCCGGGGAGGTGGCCTGGGGGGGAGTTCTTGAGGTGATGCTTCACGCTGAGCCATCACACTGATCTGCTCCTCTGCAGGGGGCACTGACCCCATCCAAGGGCAATAACAGGGGGAAATAACATCTGTGGTGGAACCCCACCCCACAGCATCTCCAAAACAGGGAGCAGGAGAGCATGCCAAGCCCCCTTGCTGCCCTCCCCACCTCCTGCCTTGAGGCTGTGCTCCCAGTAGTTACTGCTGGGAATGCTGAGCCAAGACCTCACATGGGGACTGTCAGCTCATTACCAGGACATTCAGAGCCAGCTCAGCGATCCCCCTCACCCTACTTACCACCCCTCTCCAGCAGCCTGGAGCCTCCCTTGCTGCTCCCCATCCCTGTCTAGGACATCCCTGGACATTCCTTCTCTGGAGCCTGAGCAAACACCTCATGTGACAGTGTCGATGGGCTTTGCAATAACCAGCACCAACACTCGGCACTTAAAGGCTCCTTTCACTTTCAGGGTATCACAAAACTACTCCTTCATTTTTCTACCAACTTAACATAAGCTACTTGAATTTCCCTCATACAAATGCCAGTCCACACACCAACAGTCTTGCATGATACCTGTCTTTGTCACCTTTTTTATTGTGCTCTAGGCTTTTAGGACAGGGAGCCTGTGTCAAATAATCAGGTCTCTCTGTTCTCTCCTGCATTTAAGATGCAGACTGAGTTCACACTGCAGCATAAACAAGGTTGTTTCCCCTCTCTACTCCTTTCCTACCCAGTCCTAATATTTTGTTTTCTTTTTCAAACCACTGCTGAGTGTGAAAGTCCTGTTCTTAGATTATTCCACACAGTCGCTGTTTTGACTCTTCTGAAAAGCTCCCTGAAGCCCAAAGCAAAACTGAGATGCCCTTGAACCTGCCCTCTCAAGCACTGCAGCAAGGCACAGCTGCAGTGTGGGAATAAAAGAGGACTTGGCTGCACAACAGTGGCTCCTCACCTGGAAGGCCTTGAACGCTTTGGCTAAAAAGGACCCATTTCTTGGCCCACAACGCCGAATTCAGTTAATAGAAAAACAAGGGGATCAACAAGTTAAACCTCCTCTGCTTTTTCTCCTCCCAGCACTGCTGTTGTTCCTAATGCTCTGAGTTGCCTCCCTGGGAACACTCATCTGTTTTCATGTTTACACAGCTCTCAGTTACAAGGTATTTCAGAGAACTCCCTCACGGGGGACAGCAGGATGGCACCATTCACCCGAAACATAATCCTACAGCAGGGGATTTTCATCTGGCAGAGATTTAGTTGCTCCCTGGGGGAGAAAACACTTGGAGCATCTCTCTGGAAAGAGGTGAGCCCTAGGAAAACGTTCCTGCCTGCAAGAGGTATTTCAGAAGTAAGCTGATCTAGTAGTCCTACTGATTTCTTTAACAACAGGCCAAGCATTACAAAGAGGAAATGAACCTGAATTCTCAGAGGGCTCTTATTTCTTTGGCAAGCAAGGAAAAACTCTGTTTCCAGGGTATTCTGCTACCTGCTTGAGCTCTGCTGCTTATTACTTCTTGGGATCTCCAAAATCTGAGCAGGATTTAGTAACTTGGAAAAAACTACCAGGGCAGGAATATTCTTGTTTTGCTAATTGTGCAGCAGGCATCCTAACAATACCTTATCTCTGAAAACAGTGCCTCCCCTACTCAGAGTTGGTTGGTTTGCAGTTATCATTTAATGTGTGGGCTCCTTTCCCACCACACTAGTGCTGTATCATTACTCTCTTCCTCAGGCAGGGAGCAGCAATGTTCCTGGGGTTACAAGTGGTTTTTCTAGCCCCCTGGTTCCTTGCAGCACTTCTCTAACTCCAAGACTAGAACAGCCCAGCATAAAACACAAAAAAGACCCACCATCAAGAACTGTAAAAATACCAGAGGGAAGCCACAGCCTTCCACCTGAGCTCAGTTTCACATCACTACAGCAAAAGGGCAAGCCTGTAATTAAAGCAATAGCTGCTGTTTGATGATGGCTCTGCTGCTTGGTAGCTGAGGAAATCAGGCATCCCAGAATGGAAATGCCAGTCAGAAATCACCAAACGACTGAGCCTGAAAGGCCACCACACACAGAGCAGGGATGTTTCACTTGCAGCCATCAGTCACACTTGTTCTTGCCTCAAGTGACACACTGGAGCCGTTTGATGGGAAGAGTCTCAGCTTGCTGTGGCACAATCGATCCTCTGGGAATGTTAACAGCTTAACAGTATGTGGGGTCTGAGATGTGAGTCGAAGCAATGACAGCACTGGCAGGAGTTCCACTGCTTATCCTGTGAGCAGGATAACCATCCAACCCTCTGCTGACCCAGGAATTCACAGCACACCATGGGTGTCAAACTGAGCCCCGAGTCACTCACCTGGGGATGGTCTGGATGATGAAGATGTCCTGTCCCCGGACGGATTCTTTTATTTCCACTCTTGTTTCTGAAAAGGATTGAAAACAGGGTTAATTTTGTTTCCAAACACCAGGTTGACAGTGACAACACACCATGTTTTAGCAGCAAACTTGCCCCCTGGTCAGGGCAGATGAGGACTTGCTCCATTGCCCTTTGTGCACATACACCCACTAGACACACAGATGAGCCAAGCAGATTTTCCAAAGGCTGGTCCTGGGTAGAGCTGGCACGACATACCAGTGAGTTAGCTGTATTTACAAAGCAAAAGCAGGCTGAATAGCTGTTTCTTATGTTCAGAAGACAATTGCCTAATTCTTAATTAGAGATCCTTTTCACTCCTCCGTGCAGTGGTGAAAGCAGTCAACAGAACATTTGTTAGTGAGCAATGAACCACCCAAGGCAGAACAACCTTCAGGACTTACCAAGAAGGTAACTCAGCTCTTTTGCATTTTGCTCTTTCACAGCTTAGCACGGGATCAGCTCCAGGCAGGCTGGATAGCCCAAGGCAACACCACCAGCACCAAGAACTGCCCAGTTTCACCAGCAAGGTCAAGACATTTCAACACTGACACGAGCTGGAAGTCTGGGCTCTGCTGAACACCATTCCCACAGTCCCTGACTCAGCTGCAAAAGCTGAGCCCCAAGCAGCTCTGCAAAGCCAAAGCAACAACTCCAGGTTTCCCAAGTGCCTGTCTGAGCCACTCATATCCCTCACAGTCCTGAACTACAGGGCAGGGATAAGCAAAATGAGGGAAACAGCTGCACAGCTATGGAATTCAAAGCCTAATTGCCTGGGCACTGGCAGTAACCTGAAGGGACTCTGCTGAGAGCAGACTGATGTGCTGTGCAGTGATGAAGAACGACTTCAGACCTTGCAGCAAAGCAACCTGATTTAAAAGCAACCCCAAAGGGCAGCGAGCTCTCACGAACACCAGCACACCAGCCAGCCCAACCATAACCACCCACGGTGTGGCCCATGCTGGCTGCAAGAGCAGCAGCACTCCCATAAATCCTCCATCCCTTCCTCTCACCTGCACCAGCTCTCTGGTTCTAGTCTCTCTTGCAAGTAAGGTAACAGAGGTCTTGAAACAGGAAATGACTCTCAGCCAAGCTCCAAGAGGTACATTCCCCAGCACAGCCTTGAATTCTCACTCTCTAAAGCAAGAGCACAAGTCCTTGCTAGGGCAGCTGTAACCTGCCTGTGGCAGGGGAGTGTGGGAGGAAGGGGATAATTTTAAAGTTCACAAGGCAGACACTTTAGAAAGCAGGGCATTACTTTTAAACCTGGAGCTGTTTTGCTAAGCACTGGAGCCAGTAAGGTTTGGCAGCAGCCAACACCCGAGGTAGGACTCCAGAGGAGAGTTTGCTGATGGGCAGACAAACAAGATAACAGAGGCAAACAAGGAACACATTTAATTGCTCTGTCCAAGGTCAGACACAGAGGTTTAGCATTGCCAGGAGCAGATGTAACATCACAGCTGAATCACTGCACTTATTAGAGAGGTCTGGCTGATGGAGTTACCCAGTATTTCTAAGATTACCTCAAATAATAAAAAGATTTCTCTCACCTCCATTGGTTTCCTGGTACACCACAGATTTCCCCAGCTCAGCACCAAGACGCCTGGAGAGAAAAAAAAAAAAAAAAAAGGAAATTAAAAATGGAGGAACCCAGCAGTTTGTGATCCAAACCAGGGACTGGAGCAGACATTACACACCAGTAAAAACACAGTGTGGCCCAAGAGGGAGCTGAGTGAGCCAGCCAGGCTGCTCATCTTCCCCAGGAGTCTCCTTCCCTCTGACACCCCCGGGGAGGGCCCTGGCACACACCACTCTGCAGCAGGTCACTGCTGTACTCAAAGAGCCAGCCCCTGTGCTGACCACAGGCTGCTTCTCCTGCTGGCAAAGGACACCTTGCCAGCCTGTGCAAGGCCACCTTGGGCGGGTTTTGATGTGCAAGCGAAGTTGAATGATTTACTCAGACTCAATTAATGGCATCTGAGTCACTTTTTTTTTTGACTCCCACATCTTTTTCTCTTTCTTACCTCTCCCCAAACCTTCCTTCTGAAATAACTTGGCTGACTGAAGAGATTTTAACTTCAAAAATTTATTTTTTTTAAATTACTCCTTCCTCTCCTCAAATGTCAAGTCTACAACATTCATCACAACAGAGATTAGTCACAACCCCCCCCTTTTTTTTTTTTATTTCTTTCTTGCATACTAATGATTCATTTTGAAGAGCATTTTAAAAGGTTCCAAAAGGCAGACTTCTCCCTCAGGTGACATTTCAGTATTTAACCGTGCTGACAAGTAATCCATTAGTAAGTACTTAAAGGCATTTGTGCTTTAACCATGAGCTTCAGCTGCAAGACTCCCAAAAGTGAGACTTTTGGGACAATTGTGCTGCTGAAACTGGGCAAGATGGAGCAGGTAAAGTCCCTCCTCTCCCAGGATCTGCTCAGTGGCCTTGCTCACACGCTGGATTAGGCAATAGTTTATGCCTGAAAAATACCTTTGCTCACCATGCTGATTATGGTTTCCTCTCTGCACACATACTGTATTTACCTGGGCACGTGCCAAAATTTGGCATATCAGGACCAACCCTAAATGAAAGTCCACATCTGTTGCTGGCTTATCCCTGGCTCACAGACTTCTGCAGTCAGTCCCTCAGTATCTCCTTACCCAGACTTGTACTTCAGTCGCCACCAAGATTGGTTTTTTTCAGGATTCACTGAGTGAGGCAGCCCGACCCTGGCGTGCTTCTGTCCCACCAGCCACTGCTGGGCTCAGCCACGAGCCAAAGCTGCAGGTCCCAGCTGGAAGGAGGCCTGGAGAACGTGCCCAGGACAGCTGTGATAACAGACACTCCAGTGCCACGGGCTGTATTTGCTTAGCTGGCTCTCGAGCACGTATTTGGCACGCTCACACTCCCCATCGTGTGCCTGGCAGCACGTTCTGCAGTGGCTGGGGCTGATGTGTAAACTCCCACACTGAGAACTGTACGTGTGAGGCTGTACCCAGACGGGCTCAGGTACCAAGTGCAGCATCACCAGGGCATGGAAGAAGCCTCCCAAACCCCTAATTTGGCTTCTCTCAGCCCAGCTGGGTTAAAACTTGCAGCTGCAAGGCAAAGGAATCTTCAGTACCTTCTGTATCTTCAAAAAAGAGCTGCTCAAGCAAAGCAATCCTGGGCACCTCGGGGACAGACTCACAGTGGAGGTGAGTTTTGCAGGTGGGAGCAGTTGGGATCCTGCTTCCTTCCAGTGATAGTCTGGCATTTACAACCACTAAGCTCAGTGCCTTGCTGGCAAGGCATCCAAGTCCCAACAAGCTCAACAATCACACACACACACACAAAACAACCTGGTGGAAGGGTGAAATGTTTAATGACTCACACTTGCTCCTCCACAACTGCATGGCAAGTCTTGCCTCTGGAGGCACGTGTGCCCTGACTTCACTGCGGACAGCACGTTCCCACCTCACTACTGGGGGGAAAAATTCCACTGGTGAGACTTGCACAGTCTCTTAGTCAGCCCTGAATCTCCTGGCAGGAAGGAAAGCTTCAAAACCAGTCCAGCCAGACACACTGCAGCAAAGCATCCCCCCAGAAAGGGGCACTTTCAGTGCTAAGTGGTGGCAAACAAAACCAGCAGATTTGTGGTGCTCAAGGGGAAATGGTCTCTAGGTTGCCCTAGGGAAGGTTTTAGATGGATATTAGGAAAAATTTCTTCTCTGAAAGGGTTGTCAAGCACTGGCTGCCCAGGGAAGTGGTGGAGTCACCATCCCTGAGGGGATTTAAGAGACATGTAGATGTGGCACTTGGGGACATGGTTTAGTGGTGGCTTTGACAGTCCTGGGTTAACAGCTGGACTCCATTTCAAAGGTCTTCTCCAACTCTATGATTCCATGATGTACCCAGCAAGAAGAAACCAGAGCCCAGTGCTCCCCTACTCAGACCATACAGCAGCAATGCAGTTTCTGTGCTGCTGAAACAAGAAATCCTAAAGGCAAGGTTGCTGCCCCACAGCAAGAGGGACACTGAACAACTTAGCTTGTCAAACCTGGGTGCAGAGAGCAGCAGAAGGCACAGCACAGAGCTGCCACCTTAAAGGAATGGGCAGCAGTGGATTGGTCTGGTCAGACAGTAAATCCCAGCTCTGTTCCAACTGTTGCCTAAACAAAAGGGGTGGCAGTGGGAAGGACGGGAGATAAAACTGCCCATGGAAGTCACAGATCAGCCCCACCTGCAGCTCCACAGTCCCATGAGCCACAGGCAGCTCCCCCAAAGCAGCTCAGGTATGTGCACCCCAGGGCCACACCTTCCACTAAATCCCTTCCTGAAGGCTTCGATTAGCTGAGATATCACCACTGAAGGAGTCTGATAAACACTGATTTGGCCAAGGACAATTAAGAGGGGATTGTTTGTGCAGCTCCTGTTGTAAAGCACTGAATTCCAGAGGACTTTTATCAGAAGGGACATTTGCACAGAAGTCAAGGGCAGGGCATGGCCTTACCCACCACACAGCCTGGGAGCAGCCACAGACTTCAAAGATAAACTCCCCTTTCCCACCACCTCTCCCTTTTTTTCCCCTCTTCCATCCCAACTCTTTTTCTCTCTAAATCCTCTCTCCATCCAGAAGCTCCTGACTGGACTTTAGGGGATGGAGGAATTGAACTGACAGCAGGAACTCTGTCTGCATGTGGCTTCAGGACTAACAGCATAACCACAGGAACCTGGGCCACCACAGCTACTGATCACTGACTGCAGACACAGGACAGAAGAGGTGCCACTGCAGGTAACCCAGAGCACACACCCCCTGCACACACACAGCTGCTCCTGGCAAAAATAACATTTTAGGTCCTCTAGATAAATCACATTCTCCAAGCAAAACAAGCTGCCATCCTTGCACCAGCTCCACCGCTAAACCAACTCCTCTGGGGCATGACAGCATCTAAGAGAAAAACATCTCTTTATGGCTTTAAAAATCCTCCTCAGAGCAACTGGCCACTAAAAATTCATATTGATCTGGAATCTCTCTCTCTCTGTAAACACTGCCCAGGAAAGATGATCTAACTTTCCGCAGTCTCCACACATGCCAAGAGGATATTAAGCTGTGGATACAGGAGTGTTTATAAAATCTCGCTCCAATTCACATCTAAAAGCAAACAGCTCAGAAGTCACCTATAGTTTAATGAGGAAGTGACACACTGCAGTATTTTGGGAAACGCTGTGAGGTGGTATTAGATTGTACTTCAAAATGCTCCTCTAAAGGCTGTCAGAAACCACTGTCCCAGGCTCTCGAGACAAAGGACGGTCAAAGAGACCTGACATTCAGCTGAATCAAATTTCAAGAGCCAAATGCAGTTGCAGCATTTTGTGCCATCAAAACCCATTTCAGTGCCACTGAGAAGGGCCCTCAGCCCAGGCTGTGTTTCCTCCTGGCCCCCTGTGACCAGCATCCAAGACATTTGTAAATTTTCTCCGAAGGAAGCTTCCGGAGGAAATCTGCATACAAAGCCCTTAATTATGGTATGATTTTATTTTGGCAATATCCTCTTCGTTACAAAACACTTTCACTGGTCTCAGCTCTGCAAACACCCAACTCTCCCCGCACCTAAAGACTCCAAGAACTGCTGCAGGCTCCGGAAGGATCTGGAGCAGAGGATCTGTGCCGTGACCAACCGTGGCCAAAGCAAGTCACAGCCCGACTTTGAATCGCTTTTCAAACTTCTGCAAATCTTTATTTAAAGATCAGTCATGGTCCAGCCAGCACAATGGCAGCTCTGCAGTCTATTTCCTAATCTCCCAGTACTTGAACAGCCAGGAAAGGGGAAGGGAATGGCAGCTTCCTGGACACAAGGCAGTCTGTTCAGATACCCTTAAAACTATCTGAGCTCTCCTTTACCACTCTCCATCCACCCAGCACAGCTGGGTACTTGAAGAACAGTCCCTCCTGCTCATCTGCCACTTGGATCACTTGTTCCAGCCATGCCAAAAGCCATGCAGCCCAACTACTGGCAAATACCACTCAGATTTTCCTCTCCACCGACCAGCCTGCTCCTCGTGAAGGAAATTCCCCTAAAGCTGGTGCTGGCCAGCACAGAAAGCTCCACACAGTCCAAATCTCCTCAGCTACATTATGTGCTCCCCCTGAGCTGCACAGAGAATCCCAAAGCCCAACTTCTCCAGGTTCACCCTACTCCAGCACTGCCCCCCACCTGAACCCTCTCCACCTGTCCTGCTTTGTAGCTGGTTACTCTTTTTCCTTTCCAAAATCCTTTGCTGCACCCTTCACCCTGTAATATCCATTAGCCTCCTGCCACAGTGCTGCATCTTCTGAGATGGAAAAGAGTTGGTGTCACCTCCCCTCCCCACACAGCTTGACACTGGAGTTGTTTCCAAAAGGCAAGCACAGGGTTTGGGGATACAGAGATCAGAACACAAATCCCCATATTTTCCTCCCTGCTCCACGTTGTTTAGGCTCATGGCACTGCTTTATCTTTAGATCACATAGCATTTTCCATGCTGCAAAGCAGATGAATGTCTGGAATACTCACATCCACAGCTGGCAATGACAGTAGCACGTCCCCCATCACGGAGCTGCAGCAGCACTGGGGAGGCATTAGCAGCTTCAATCACCTCCAACCCAAACACATGAGCAGTGAGCAGAATGTAAAATTTGTACCCTCCGAGCCAAGCACTGCAGTCAGAGGGAGATCTAAATGCATCTGTTGGACTCTGGAGACCAAAAAGACTTGCCAGACCTCCCTCCCCCCAGCAGCACACAGGCCCATTAGGGATCAGCACTGGCCACAGAAATTATCTCTCTCCCTTGCAAATGTGGCTCATAATCAGGTGCCAAGTGTCCTAATTACAGCAGGAATTTTCTTTCCATCTGGGAAAGAATTTTAAAAAAATAACCATCCCTCTCAATTTATAAGATACAAGTATATGGTTTAATTTATGTTCCAGTGGTGCCAAAGCTAAGGAGCATCTTCATTGTTTAAAGTTTCACAAGGTTCTTATAATCCAGCACCATCTCCTCTCCCTGGCAGACACTGATAGCAACCAAAGCTCTGAAAACCCAAAGTGAAAGTGAGACTGACCATCAGTCACTGTCCCATAACCAGACAAGAATGCTCAATGGCAACTCTAAAGATCAGAACTGTGACACTCAGAGCCAGAACCGAAAGCAACTCGGGAAGTTCTGCAGTAAACAAAGTGAGGAGATTGACCTGATTTATGTCCCATTGCTCCTCTCCGGGCTCGAGGTTTTAGAAAAGGATAAGCCAGCACTACTCATGTATAGATTTTAAGAGTATACCTACAGGCAAAGAGCAACAGAGCCCAGATGGACAGGAGCATCAAGGGGCCCTATCCTAATATTGCTTGTTTTAAAGTTCTTTTACGGTTTATACTAAAGGTCATAAAAAAACTTTAAAAAAGAACACACAATATTAGAGGACAAACTCACCCTTATAAGATTGCTCCAACTCTACTTAAAGGTGCAACTGATCTCCCCAGCAAAGTACAGGCTGGGATGTGAGACAGGGGGAAAGGCAGCAGGAACCTGGAAAAACAAGGGATGAACTACAGACGAGTTGAAACAGCCCTCGAGCTCCTGGGGGAGGTCAGTGCAAAACCACCGTAGAAGATGCTGAAAATACCTTTATTATTTGGGAGACTTTTTACTGTGGGCAAATCTGTACTGTCAGTGGTTCCAGATTTTGCACCCACAATGAAGATACGAGTCCTTAGGTCTCAGGTAAGCAGCAGCTCTGCTCTTACCACCCCAGCATCCAACATTCCACTGTCAGAGCCAAGATAAAGAGCCCACAATGCCCCTATTAGAAATCTACTTGGTGAAAGACAGCTGGGAGGCCACTCTGGATCTGGATCCTGCTTCATTCCCCCTCGGAGCATCCCTGGGAGCCCACAGGGGGTGACATCAGCACATCATCCAGCCGGCCGTGCGCGCCGTGGCCCGGGGAACCTGCTCCGTGTCTCTTCTCGTTACATCTTCAAAGAGAAGGGAGTTATTTTTAAGACAAAAAGCCAAGAATAAGGATTGCCCCTTTGCTCTTTCAGTCCCCCAGAACTCCGAGCTCATCCTCAGGGGACTTGTGTTATGTTGTGTTGACGCAACAGGACAAGCCTTGTAAAACCCTCTCCCATCTGTTGCAGCAAAACTTACTTTTTATGGAGAGAGGCTTTAGGTTCAGAGTTGTATCAGTGAAGGGAAAGTGATACAGAACTGACCAAGCGTACCAAGAACACATGAGCCAAAAAACCCCAAGCTTCCCACTCCCAAACACCAGGATTTCCCTCTCTGCCTCACGCCCAAAGAAGTCCATCATTGTTATCCAGCACACATCCCAGCCAAGTCAGCTCCGTGGAGATAATCTGTGCTAAGGACTGAGCACAGTGTTTATTAAGCTAACGGGACGAATGGCAAAGTGTTCCTGCAGTTTAAGGTGGCAGCACACCTGTACTTAGTCATGTTTCCAATTTAAGCACGCCCTTGGAGGCAGGAATGGGACAGCAAGGGATAGCAGGGATGTTGTCAGCTGCAGCAGGCAAACAAGCACTGAGCCCCCCTCGATTTTGGGGGCAGCTTCTTATGAGAAACAGCAGCAAAGAAACCCATATCCTGCTTCAAGATGACAGCCCAATATACAGATGCCCATTTCAGAAGAGTCCCTTTGGCTGGGAGTGCCCCAGTTTGAAACAAACCAATTCAAAACCAAAAAGATCAAGTGCTGGGGGAAACTCGGTGCTCCTCTGGTTGCACCAGGAGCCCCGTTTTGGAGCCAGCTGTCACACCCCTCATTCCACATTACCCAGGACATCCATCCCGCACCAGGCAAGGTCAAACCCTTCCCAAATTGATGGGTTTCTACCCTGAACTAAGCTCCCTTTTGTCAGCACGTGCTGCCCACCTCCCCAAAATCCACGCTGGTCAGTGCCAGGGCAGGTGCCGTGCCCGAGGTGCCCATGAACACTCCCCCAGGCCCCAAACAGGGAAGCTCTTGGGAAAAAAACAAGGTCGCCAGCCAGAGAAAAGTTTCGAGCATCTCCCAAACCTGCTTAAAAAAAAAAACAACAAACAAACCAAAAACCAACGCTCTCCGAGGTTTGCTCAGCCGAGTTCCCCCTCCTGCCTCCCCAAAAGCTCAACAGCCTTTGCTGCGAGCCGGCCTTTCCAGCAACCGAGATGGATGTCGGAGGCTCGAAGGGGCGGAAAGCAGCGGGTCCATCCCCACCGCCGGCCGGGCTGGGATAACCGGCAGGGATGGGGAGCAGCAGGAGGGTCGGAGCTGATGGAGGTTCCCAGCGCGGACCCTGAGGTGCCGGCAGCGATGCCCCGGGAAGGCGGGAGGATGCCAGAAGCTTCTCCAGCCGCTCAGGAGGCGCCCGAGGAGCAGCGGGGAGAGCGGGGGGGGGAGAGAAAGAAACTTGAAAAGAGAGGGAACTTACTCCGTGATCTTCTTCGCCAGCTCGGTGGAGGCTGCCGTGGAGTTGGCCGAGAAGACCCGGTAGCCGCTTCTGGCCGCGTTCATCGCCAGAGAGTCATGCAAACCCCGCGGAGCTCGAAAGTGGGAAAAAACAGATTTATAAGGCAACAACAGCTTCCGTGGCATCCTTTTCTTCCTCTCCGCCGCGATCGCCGCCCCTTAAGGGGTGGGGAGGAGGAGGAGGAAGGGGAGGAGGGGGGGGAAAGCCCTTCCCGCTACCTATGGACTTGCTGGTTTGCTGCTATGCAAAGGGAGGGTGGAAATTATGAATATTACAATAAAACAGAGCAGCAGATGCCCTGGCGGGGCGGGGGGCTTGGGGGGTGAGCAGGCAGCAGGTAACCCCAACCCGCACCCACCCCCTGCCCACCCAGTGTCCCCTCCTGCACCGGGGAGAGCCGACCCCCAGAATGAGCGGAGCTCGTAAGGAGGAGAGGGGTTGCCTCGGCTGGGGGAGGTGGGGGCGAGCTGAGGGGACACAGAGGGGTTTGTGTGGGGGCAGCAGGGCGGGACGGGGGTCTCTGGTGGGGTAGGGGGTCACTGGGAGGCGGGAGAATCCCTGGAGGGGACGGCGCCCTCCCGCTCCCCTCACCCAGCCCAGCGAGTTCCGCCGCACGGCCAGAGCGCCGCTGCCCTCCGCCGCCATCTTATCGGCGGGGAGACCCCGCCCCCGCCGCCATCTTGGGTGAGGGCACCGCAGCCGCACCCCCCGCACAGCGTCCCCTCACCTACTGCCCCAGCACCGCCGGTATCTCGGGAGGAGAACGGCGGGAGCTTCCCTCTTCAGGCATCAATACACCTCCCGCTCCGCGAGGGCTGCTCTCAGCGCGGCCGCCTCCCGCTCCTGCGCGGCGGCGCGGGGCACGCGTTGAAGGCGGGGGTTAAAGTGCCCGTGCCCAAGATGGCGGCGGAGGAAACGGAAGCGCGGCGGGGGCGCTCTGGCCGCGCTCTATGGCGGGCGCGCCGGGAGGACCCGCCGGGTCCTCCCCCGGCTCCTGCTCCGCTTCCCAAGGGAACACACCCGCTATCGGGCACTCCGGGGGCTCGTGGGGAACAGGGACAAAGTCCCTCTCAGGTCCAGGGACTAAACGGCTTAGCTAAGCAGAGAAGTTCAGCTCCAACCCATCCGGCAGAGCACTGTGCTGACCCTTCCCGGCACTTAGAACGTGCTATAAATATAAATATAAATATAAATATAAATATATAAATACAACAATATGTATTATGTATTATATATTAAAAATATGTATTATATATGCATGTTATATATGCTATGTTATATGTGTATATATGTATAGGAAGGAGGTGAAACTTGGCTGAACAAATATATATATGCATTCATTTTTATTTATTTATATATATATATATATATATATCAGCCTCAGAAGCTGGGAAAGCGAGAGGAAGTGACACCACCATCAGGATCCATCCCCCTATGGTCAGGATGACTCAGATCACCCAACAAAGCAGCAGAAATGAGGATATCTCACAGAAATTATACATTGCAGGGAAGGCAAACAGCATTAATTTCACCACCATTGCTGGGTTCACCATAGAAGGGAGAGGTTTTCCCTGGAAGTTTTCTAAGTTGCTGTGCAAGATCATCATCCCTTGGCCTGTGTCCTTATAGCTGGGAGTGGGGAAGGAGCAGGAAGCCCAGTGGGCTTCACTGAGGCCACGCAGGATGGACATTCCATGACTCAGCGGCTCCCTGGGCTGCTCTGGCGCGTGGGGCCGGGTGTGTGATGGCAGGCGTGCCTCTGGCAACGACTCCCTGTCACAAACATTTCATGCTCAGCTGGGAGCTGCAGCACTGCCATCGCTCCCCTTCCGCTGAACACTTCGTTAAAGGTTGTCCCTCTCCAGCATCCTCTGTGCAAACGAGACAGAAGTGCCTGTGTCCCCTCCACATGGCACCAGGATGGAAGGTTTCATCTCCCTTCACCAAACTGGTGACATGCCACCTGTCCCTGTGGTGTATTCCATCCCCACGTCTCCTCCTGCCGTGTCCCCTGCGGGTCCCTCATGCCTGGGCAGAGCGGGGGCTATTCCAGCCCGACTCCCACATCCCGCAAGACAAGGCGAGAGCTGACAGCATCAGCTGCCCGAGTTCACTCCGAGGAGGCAGCACAGCCAGGCGTGGGGTTCTGATCGGGCCCTCGGGCTGGAATAATCCTGGGATGAATCCACAGCATCCATTTGCCAGCCAGCCCAGATCCCCCTCGTGGGCACCCCAGGCCAGGCTCCCCCTCGGCCCCACACGCAGATGTGTGTTATCAGCAGCTGCTCACAGCACTCACAGCACCAACCTCCTCACGGGTTGCTGGCTTTGTCCTTCGAAAGGAGCTCTGGGTGGGAGCCAGACTGGTTTTGTGAGGAAGAAGTTGGCTGCTTCCCTCCTGCACCCACCAGAGAAACGGCAGCTCCCAGGGGAGCAGGGACATTCTCCTGCAGGGACACCCAAACAGGGGGGAACAAGGGTGGGAAAGTACCCAGGCACTGCAGGGACCATGACCAAATACCCCCACACAACCTCCTCCTGCCCTTCTCTTTTAAAGCCCTTCCCTCCTGGCTGCCTGGAATCAGGTGTGTGGAGCAGGAAGGGCTGTTTAACCCCTTCCCAGCTGGATCCTCGCTCGGCAGCCTCAGCTCAAGGGATGATGCTGTGGCCTCTGAGTGCCCTCAGCCTCTGCTTTGCCCTCTGGGTCCCTGCTCATCCTCCTCCTGCCCTCATTCCTGCTGCCCTGTGGGGTGTTCAGAGCCCTGCCGGCCATTGGGGGTGGATCCCGCTGGTATTGTCACTTCCCTGTGCTTTTTCCCAGCTGCTGAGGCCGAGATGCAACAAGTCTGTTTGTTCTGCTGCGGGGCAGCCCCCGGCACAGCAAGACACACCTTGGAAGGGGCTTGGTGTCCCAAAATCATCCCGCCCTGTGTTCCTGAGATTCCCCCTCGGTGAATCCGCAGCTTTCATCCCTTCGGGGGGGGAAGGCCCAGCAGCCTGGGGGTCCCACCAGGATGGCTGCTGGAGGTGCAGGGTTGGGATCGGCCCCTGAGGAGCCCAGGGAAGGGGTGGCAGGCAGAGATCACGCCGTTATCACTGCCACAGCCAGCCTTTCTCCTGGAAAAGGGAACGGACTCTGATTTCTCTGCGGGCTGAAGGTCACGCTCGGTTTTACAGCCAGGCAAAGGAGAAGAAAGGAGCAATTCTGTTTACTTAGGGAGTAATTAATATCCCAGCTCCTGGCATGTACAGAGGCAGCAGGAACCTCCCCCACAGCGCGGCGGAGAGCGAGGCTGTGCAGCCCTTTATTATTCCATTATGAGCTGGGCAGGATTAGGAGGGCGGGTCAGGGAACAGCGCCGGCTTTGAGCAGGTTTAGCTCCTTTCCAAAGGCTTATCCCGGCTCAGTCTCACTCTCTGGACACCACGCAGTTATTCTCTGCACAGAGGGGCTTGAGCAGTGCTGGAGGGGGAGAGTGGGCAGGGGGTTACGGAGCTTTAACAGCCCAGCAGGGAAAACCTGGGAGGTTCCTTTACCAGGAACTCGCTTTATAGGTTGAATTTCAGCGACCAGGGAGGGCAGTTCCTCAGCTCTGCCAAGTCCTGCATTGCTCCCCGGGGAAAACCAGGCCTCGGCGCTGCTCGGGGGCAGTTCCGTGGGGTGGGACAGCCATTGCAGGCAGTTTCCTGCAGAGCCGGATGAGGTTTTTGCTCTTTATTCTTCACCAAGTTTCTCCCTGGAGCCCGGGTGGGGTGGCCGGAGCGTGCCTGGCAAGGAAAGAGGAGCCGTGGGAACTGAGGCAGCAAATCCCTCTCCCTCTTTCCCAGGCCAGAACCTGGGGGCCACGGTGGGATGCTGTGCCCCTCGTAAGTAATTCCACGCTGGGAATGCTGCCCGCAGGCATCGAGCCTCGCAGCAGGGATCACCCCTGGATGGGGATCAAGGCTCCCAGGCCAGCCCCAGCCAGGTGGTTCTCATTGCAGCCTCTGACTCACCTCCCAAAAATTCCTGCACTCCCATCACGGCAGGAAACCACTACAGGGAAGTGGTGAAAGCCCCGAGAGGGCCTGAAATTCGGCTTCCCCCAGCCCAGGGGGAGATCAAACAGCAGACTTTGGCCTCAATCCCTCTGACGCCAGGGCTTGTCATCGCAGGGGGGGTGTCTCGGCCGAGTGAAAGAGGTGGTTCCTCCAGACTCAGCAGCTTTTTGCCGGGTGTTTGGGAGTGTTTTCCCTGAGGAGGCCTGAGCTCAGAAATATTTTTGAGCAAATAATCAGCTGGGAGGAATGATCTCAGCTGGTCGGCATTGTTCAGGCTTCCCGGTGAGCCCTGCGGTCCCGGGCTGTGCCGGCAGCTGTCGAGAGCTTGGCAGAGGGTCAGGGCTGGGGAGCAGCCCCCCAGCGGGGTTGCAGAGCCTGGCTGAGATTTAGGAGCTGCCAGAAAACCCCCAGCCCCTTGGAGGCTGGGAATCCTCCAGGCTCAAGCCTTGGGCCCCAAGTGAAGCTGGATTGTGGGGGATACCTGCTGCTCCTGGGTCACGGAGGCAGGGAGAGGGTGCAGCCACTTGCCCAAGTTCTGCAGCAAATCAGTGGCAGAGCCCAGAACTGTGTCCCAGCTCAGGTGATCCCAATGACTTTCCTGCAGGAGACACCTCTGTTAGTTCTGTCCCCTCCTGCTCCATGCTGGTGTCCTGTGTTGTCAGCACCAACCCCAGGGCCGAGAGGGGCTGAGCCGCAGTCCCAGGGCTGGCCCTGCACAGAAGCGGCTCCGGCTCCGCACCGGCCGCTCCCGCAGGCGCTGCCTGGAATGTTCCCACTGCTGCAGTCGGTGCCTGTCCCCCTGCCAAGCCTGCAGCCCTGCCAGCCTCGATGCAGCGCCGAGCCGCGCTATTTCTGGCTCCACCTTGAGACATGTACCTTCAGCAGTGGGAATGATGCTAAAAGAGATGGATCCGGGATGAGTGCATCCCCCTCCCGTCCCCGGGCGGCTGCCGGCGGATGTGGCAGAGCGGGCAGGGATCTGGAGGAGCTGCGTGTCTCGAAGGGAAACGCTGCAGCTCATCTTGCAGCAGAGCCACGTCCTCTGCACAGCTCCTCCGGCGCTGCAATGAGGGCAGTGGGATCCTGAAATCCAGGCCTGCCCTGGCACAGAGCGCTCCAGGCCCGTGCTGCAGCTCCCGGGATCCATCAGTTGGGGGCACAAAGGGTTAAGGCAGGGTCTGGAAAGTCCCCAGCCTCTGTGCTTTCTTCCCCCAGCATAAGCTCCCTGTGGGGTCTAGCTCCTCCAGCAGCTGGGGGCCGGAGCAGGAGGAGCCTGGAGAGGGTTAATTGTCATATTTAACTCTTGCCTTCTTGCACAGCTCAAGACAAACCTTGTCTGCTGCTTCTGCCTCAGTTTCCCCAGACTCAGAGCATCCACCACCTTCTCCAGCAAGCCAGAGGCACGGTGCTTCAAATACACAAGCCTTCTCTCCCAGATGGTGTCTGTGAGGTCTGGGATACCCCACAGGCCCTCCCAGTGATCTCAGCTGGCCTGGGGCACGCTGCTCCGTGGGCGATGAGGAAGGAGGTGGGGGGATCCTCCACCAGCTGTCCCCGCCGGCTCCAGCTCCTGCTGCATCCCCACGGCACATCCCGGCGCTCCCGCCCACGCACACGGCCTGAGCCACGGCGCGGGAATGGAGCCGATCAGGACAAACCCGACCGGCTGCCGAGCACCCCTCGGGCTGACCCGGGGGGTCGAGGGAGCTCGTTAGGGCTCCCGTAATTACCACAGCCCCAAACTGGTTTTCAGCACTAAGCGGGGAAGGAGGTGATCCCACTGCCGCGTTAGGCAGCGCATCCGAAGGCAAACAAGTGGTGTCCACGTGGGGCAGGGTCGGATCAGCCTGTGGCTGCAGGGACCTGCCTGGGGCTGATGGTGGCCACAGGGCTGGCCATGGCATGGAGCGGGTGTCCAAGAGTGGCACAGCATTGGGATGGGCTGTTGTGAAGTCCCCACAGATCAGCACTAAGATGAATAAGCTCTGCCCAGGTGTCCCCTGCCATCACAGAGGCTGAGTTTATGCTGGTCCCACGCCCCACTTAGAAAAACCTGGCTGCGGCCTCCTCGTTTCCCTGCCCTTGGCATCCCTGCCATGGGCAGCCCTTCCCGAAACCTTCCTGCGCCCTTTGCCATCCTTGATACCTCATGATGAAGCCACTCTCAGCCCCTTTTCCCACAGCATGACCGTGGCCAGCAGAGCCTGGATGGGCATTCCACTCCTATTCCAAGCGCAGGCAGGCGGGGCAAAGGGGGATTCCTGCGGCACGGGGCCATGGACGGATGTAGTGTGGTGAGGACAGAGCCCAAAGCAGCCTCATCGCCCTGTGGCACCTGCCAGGAGCAGTGTGACAGCTGCTCCCACATCCTCCCAAAGTGACTCGTGCCTTCCTGAGCGGAAATTGGGAGCGGGTTAGTCACCAAGAAGGGTGAGGGGCAGGTCAGGACGCTGCACTCCCCGGCATCCAGCTATTTCCTCCCATGACACCTTGCTGAGGAACTTCAGGGCTGTTTACAAACGCTGGACTGTGTCCTGGCAGAGGCCGGGAAAGTGGCCTTGCCTGAATCTCACCCAGAATCAGCTGTGAGTGCTGCAGTTCCCAAGCCAAAAGCATCAGGGCTGGGAGCAGGTTTTGCCCCATCTGCCCCTCTGAGCAGCCCTTTGTAGCCACAGCACCCAGAGAAGTCTTTCTGGAAAGCACAGTGCTCCAAAGCATGGCACCTGGACCCTCCTCTTAGGTCACTCTGGGAAAACAAGACTCAACAGCATTATCTGCCCAGCTGGTCATTCCATGCCCTCCCTGCCATGTTTTGGCCAGTTCCAGCGGGTTTAAGCAGGCACAGAGGGCTGAGGGCTCTCTGCTAATTAAACTGCCCTAAGTGTGAACAGCGATGCCCCCCTGAGGTGCAAGCTCAAGGTTAGGGCAGATCTGCATCCACGGGGAATTGGTTGGCAAAAAAATAATCCTTGCTGGGCTGGGCCAGACCCCCTGGAGCCCGACAGTCCCTTGGGAGGGTGAGATAAGTCCTGTCGCCGGCAAAAGCTGCTGTAAGTGATTTTTGCCAGCTGCCAGCGGGCACGGAGCAGCTCGCAGCCATGCTGGCACCCTCCAGGAAGGCCCCCTAGGCTCTGTCCCCCGTGCTCTGTGCCCCGAGGTGGGGCTCACAGCACAGCCCACCTCCCTCCACGGGGCTCCGTGCCCATGGCACCCTCCAACCCTCACGGATACCTGATGGCGAGCCACCAGTGGCAGGCAGGACATTGTTCCACTCCATCCTCCCTCCTGGAGGTGTCCTCCGCCGGCTGCCCCGCTGTCTTCAGCCCTCGCCGTGCCTCGATTTCTCCAGGCCCTCGCTCCGCTCCTCTCTCCCGGTCCCAGCTGGAGAGATGCAGAAATGGTGTTGAACTCCGTTCAGCCCAGCGTGGGGGCTCGAGGGACCTCTGCCAGCGCCCATCTCTGCCTGGCTAGGAGTGATGTGCAGGAACCGGGGCTGGGGTGGCTGCCCGGTGCCGCTTTGCCGCTGCTCCCCCGGTGTGACCGTGGGCCGGTTCCCCGCCCGCCCCAGCACCCGCGGGAGCACCCACGCCAGACAACCCGCCCCGGCAGCGCAGAACCACCCGCGGCAAACCCGCGGCGTCGCTTTGCCCCCGCCCGTCTGCAGAGCCGGTTCCCCCCGCAGCCCTGCCCGGAGCGCGGGGCGGCGCTTGGGGAAACTGAGGCAACGGCCGGGGAGGTGCGGGGGGTGCCGGAGCAGCCCCGGGACGGCCCCCCTCCCCGCCGGGGGAAGGGGTGGCTGGGGGGGTGGGTGGGTTAAATTTTTATGAATGGGGCCGCCCCGCCTGCCATCGCCGGGCGTCAGCAGCGAGCGGCGGCGGGCGGCGCTCCCCGGTGCCTCCCGCTCCGCTCCGCGCCCGCTCCGCCGATGGCCGCCGGCCGCCGCGCTCCCCCGGAGCCCGGCGGGGGCCCGGTGCTCCTCCAAGGCATCTTCGGCGCGGGGCCGGCCCCCGGTGCCGCCGCCTGCTCGCTGTCGCTGACGGCCCGGGAGCTGCAGGTGCGGCGCCCCGGCGGCTCCCCGGGCGGCTCGGCCGGTCCCGACGCCGCGCTCCGCCTGGCCGACTGCGTGGGCTCGGCCGCCTTCCCCGCGGCCGCGGCCGCCGCCTGCTTCTCGCTCGTGTGTTACCCGCTGCGGGGGCCGCGCTGGGGGCCGCCCGCCCGACAGCGCCTGGAGCGGACCTTCCGCGTCTCCCGGGGGCCCGACGCCGAGGGCAACCTGCGCATCGCCCAGGCCTGGAGCCGCCGCATCCGAGAGCTCGCCGTGCCCGCCGTGCCCGCGCAGGACGGTGAGTGCCGAGCCCACCCCCCCCGGGACCCCTTCCCTGCGCCCCCGGGGCTCGCCCCGTCGGGGCTGTGCGGGGGTCGGGGCCGCTGCGCCGCCCGGCCCCACGCGGGACGGCTGTTGCCGAGCCGGGAGCGCTGCGCGGTGCTGAGTTCCACGGGGGGACACACACGGGGTCACCCGGACCCCCCCGCGCCCCGGAGCTTGGAGGGGACAGGGACATCCCGGCGCGGGGCTGCGCCGGGGGTGGCTTCTCTCCCCCTTTCACCCTCAGTTTGGAGGGGCAGCAGGGACGTGGTCGTGCCACAGGGGCCCTTTGCACGCACACACCCACCCCCCCTCCATCGCTCCCGTTCGATAACTCTAAAGCTCCAAAGGGCAGCATGATCCAAGGAAAAAAAAGTAATCATTGCTGACGCAGGCAGGACGGGAGCCAGGCACTGTCCCCTGTCCCCAGCAGGTCCCATCCATCACTTGGGATTTGGGGACAGACAAATGCTCCCCGGGACCCCCCGGGGCCCAGCGGGGTCCCAAGGCAGCCCGGAGGGGTCTGGGTTTCTGATCCCTCTCCCCGCTGGAATTGCCACTGTCTGGAAGGGGAGGGTCCGGCCCGGGGGCCGCATCCCCCAGCTCCCGCAGGCAGGGCAGGGCGCGCTGGCAGATAGTTGAACATCTGAGCAGAGATTCAATTATATGCACTACTTCATTTATTTGGCTGTCCAGTCGCTCTGATCAGACTTGGAAATTAAGAGGCATGCGGTTAGAGGGATCCTGTCAAATCACATTTAGCCCAGCTCTTCCCTGCTTGGATTTTAAAATGCAGCTTTTTTTTACATGACCTGCAGCTACAAAACAACTTTCTGCTCCTCTTCCTTAAGAATAACAACAACAACAAAAAAAAAATCCGGTGGAATGGGGTGAGGGCAAAACCAGTTCCCCAGCTCTATTTCCAGCCTGAACTCTGCAGCTGAAAGTCTCGGAGCGCTTTCCAACCCTCTCCCTGTGAGCAGGCAGTGCGAGGGTGCTGGGGCAGGAGCAGCTCTTTGCGTGCGGGGGCCCCGGGGGAGCCTGAGGAAGGAGGACGGGAGAAGGCGGTGCGGAATTTTGCAGTTATTTTTCTCACTGAGGGCCGGCAGGATTTGCAAACCTCCTCCCACAGTTTTGGGACAGGGCTAAAAGAGCCCCTTTGCCCACACCCTGCGCTCGCACGTGCCGGTGGGGAGGCCTGTGCGGGCAGATAAGGCCGTGCTGGGGAAGCTGCGTGTGAGCGAGTCCGTGCAGAGCAATCCTGTCACCCTGTCCCCACCGGGAGGGGACCTGGGAGCCACCAGTGATCCTGTCCTGGTGTCATCTCAGCTCCATCATCCTCTGGGATGAAAGCCCTGCGGAATGCTGCAGCAAGGATGAAGCTTCCCCCTTCTTATTTCACCCCAAGGGATAAACGAAAAGTCCCTCTGCAGTTGATGACCCCAAAGCTGGGGCTGCCCGCGGAGGGCAGGGATGTGTCCCAAACTGCAGCCATCTGGGAGGGAAGAAACTGTCCCCAGGCTTGTGTCCTGGCAGGGAAATCCAGCCCCAGGGAGCTCAGTCCCAGCCTTATACCAGCCTGGCATGCTGGTTCCTTGTGCCCAGAGAGTTTCTAGAAGGATGCAGGGACGCAGTGGAGTGGCTGGGGCTGCAGACAGTGGGGCTATGGCAGTGTGGTCCCGGCCTGAGCACGGCCAGGACACGTGTGACATGGGGGGATGTGGGCAGAGGGACTGGAGCAGAGTTTGTGGACTGGCAGCAGCCAGAGCCCCTTCCTCCTGCTGACTCAGTGTCTGCTCTGCTCAGCATTTGAGGCTGAAAGCGACCGCAGTGTGCCGGGAAGTGGCTCAGCCTGGCTGGGATGCCAGGGACTGGCCGGAGTTGCGCAATGGGAAGGGATGCTCTGAAATCCGTGTCCCCTCTGAGCATCGCCGCTGCTGGGCTCCAGCTCTGACCCAGCACCTTCCAGTCCCGCCATGGGGCTGAGCCTGGTGCTGCTGATATCCCTGGTCCCTCACTGGGATCACATCCTGTCACTGTTCACACCCTGATACCAGCAGTTTGCCCCTTTTGATGGAGTCATGGCCTCCCTCTGTGCCCTCCAGCCAAGGATTGGGTCCTTGGGGTCCCAGCCATACCACCCAGAGGTGGCCACGGGGCAACAGCCACAGGTCCAGGCAGGATTTTCAGGCAAGACCCGACTGCAGCTCCGTGTGCGTGGTTAATGATGTGCCTGGTTAACAGTGGGGGGGTTAAAAACTGCTTTTATGTTCTTGAAGCGCCTCCTGCTCTTATTCTACATCTTCCAAGTTTGGAGGGGGAAAAAGAAAGAGAAAAGCCCCCCATCACCTTCCTCCAGCAGCTGGGGTTTGAGCCCACACCCGTGCCTAGGGGCTCGTATGCATTGTAGGGGATTTAATGGCTGTGAGGGCCAGGGAAGCTCCAGAGGGGAGGGAGCAGGGCAAGCCCAGCCCTGGGGTTACTGCCTGTTATCCTGACCCGAGTTGGAGTGGCCTCTGCTCCGGGTGCTTCACTGCTGTCCCCGAGGGAAGCCTTTCCCCTCTCGTCTGGCACCCACTGATAAGGGGCCGGGAGTGGCAGCGGGGAGGGCCAGCCCGGAGCCAGCACCCTGAGCCAGGCTCAGCCCCACTGATCGGCCTCTCGCACACAGATCTTGCCTGTGGACTCAGTGGGATGCTCCAGTTGCATGGAGCTCATGGCCGTGACTGGTGTGATGCTGGGTGTCACTCAGGGGAGGTGACATGTGGTGACCTCCATCGCCCAGGCTCACCTTTCCCCACCACCATCCCCAGAGTGGGTGGCAGGAGGGGGTTTTAGCTCTAAACCCCCATCTGGTGTGTTCAAACAGCTCAGATCACTCCAGATGAGGTGGGGGCAGGCGGACACCCCCAGCCCCCTTGAGTGCCTTGAGGGGGGGTTCCCAGCCCAGGACAGTGCTGGGAAATGCCTCTGCTGTCCTGACTCAGCAGCTCTTCCTGCTGAGTCAGCAGATGCAGCCCTCGTGCTGTCCCACAGAGCCCATGTGCTGGGGTGGGCACCCACCAGGCACTCACCACCCCCCTGGGGCCAGATCACAGCTTAGGGGGCCCAGAGCTGGTAGGGACACCCCAAAACTCCCCAAAACTGCCTTCACCCTGCAGAGCCAGGGATTTCCAGAGCCTGAGTAGTGCTGCCCTGTTCACTTCAGGGCTCGGGGTGCCCCAGCAGCACTGAGGGGTCCTGCCCTCCTTGTCCTCCCTGTGCTTCCCTCGCAGGGCAGCTCAGTGGGCTCTCCCTGTCCCCCTGCACGGGGACCACTGGGCTTGGGGAAGGTGACGCTGGAAGCAAAGAGGGGGGAGGAGAAGAATGGAACCCCTGCCAGGCTTGTAATTACAACCCGACTGAGGCCTCACACGCGAAACCTGAGCCCCGTGGGGAGCAGGGGAGGCAGAAGCGTCCGTCTGCCGGCTCAACTGGCTGCCCTGGCCCCGCTCCATCGGGGGGGATGTGGGGAACTGGAGCCCTCTTTCCCCTGCTATGGCATGGCTGGGGTGCTGCAGGGCCCCATCCTGGGTGTGGGGGAGATCAAGGTGAGGCCCTGCAGGCCCCCATATCCCATCTCTGCTGCTTCCTCAGCATTCCCAACAGGGACTCTCCATCCTTGCTCACCCCCCATAGCATCTGGGTAGGGAATGCCGCCCAGGGAGCTTGTAGGGATCAGGGAGGAGCTTATAAGGATCAGGGAGGGCAGCTCCCCTTCCTGCAGGGTTTTGGCAAATGCTGCCTGAGCAGTGCCCTGACCCAGCACCCTGAGCCCCCTCTCTCCCCTCCAGGTGACAGCTATGGGGTGCTGCCCCGGCCCTGCCGTGCTCTGGTGCTGCTGAACCCGCAGAGCGGCTCCGGCCGCGCCCTCGACGACTTCCAGGCCGTGGTGCAGCCCATGCTGGCCGAGGCCGAGATTGCCACCACCATCTTCATCACTGGTGAGCCTGCCAGCAGCTCCCTCCTCCTCCTCCTCCCTTCCCTGGGATCTTACCTGGGCTCCTCGGATGGCCTCGTTCCTCCTGCGTCACCACAGCTCCGGCTCCTGTGGGTTGGTTGTGCTCAAGAGGGGTGAGAGCCTTGCCTGAACCCCTGGCTGGGACCCCCCTGGGGCTGGGGTCACTGTCTGGGGGGTGGCAGCAGGCAGTGCAGAGGGACAGAGGGTGA